TAACAATAAAAGTGAATCACATTACACCGCACTCTGTATTCTCCCCCGCTGTTCGGCAAGTGATTACACTCACTTTAGGACCAAAACGTTCATTCTCAAGTCACATATTTTTCCGCGTGAGTTTCATACAAAGAGCCGGTCAGATATAGAGGCCCTTCTGTTGAATAACGAAACCCGGCAAGTACATTCCCCAGCCTTGAAAACTTTTCGAGAGGAAAGAAAAAAGTCTCAAAGTAGGAAATTGTTTCTCCACTCGCCCCGCACAAGCATCAATAATTTCCGTAGTTGAAGGACTCGATGTCACCTATTCGAAGAGTCATGTTTCACCGTTCTTCTGATGTAAACTGATAGAAAAAATCATTTTTATTGCGATGATTCTTTCTTGGAACAAATATTACGTACTTCAACCAATTGCAGGCAAATTAAATGCAATAAAAAAGTAATGTTGGTTATTATGGCACATAAAAAGCTAGAGTTAGGCCTCAAACGATCGGGAATCTGTCTCAACCATTAGTCAACCTCGATATATCCTGCCATAGGTCGGTCTCGTACGCAAATGTCCATCTGTTCCTTGAGTCCAACCTTACCTATTCGACCCTGTTCCGTTTAGATTTCCGTAATATCACCCCGGATTTGGATTTGTATGCCCCACGCAATAAACGTTGTGTCGCTAGCACCTACAGCAACCATTGAATTCACACGACAAAGGAAAAAAATGATTTGGTGGTGAAGAAAGCCCCGAGGAGAAGGACTGCGAGGTACAATTGGATAATCATAGACCGTGACAGCTCAATTGCCGAGACATTTCTCAAACTTTTTTACCTCTCCTCCACGGGAGCGATGAAAATTCAGTGCTAAACGAAAAACGTAACAGGTCAAACGTCAACACATCAACCTTCCATTGTTGCTTTCCGCTTTTCCATCTTTGCGGGCTTTTTTATTCAATTTTCATGCAATCCCTCCTTTCCTTTTTCATTTACACGTATAACTATACCGCAAAAACCGCTGATACTCAAAAACCTCTGAGCGCGTACGTGTGCTCCCGTGAGAGGAATGAGAGATGGAGGAATGGAACGCGCGTTGAAAATTTATCATTCGAGATTATAAAAAAGAGCTCTTTAAATTGTGATACTGCAGTGGCATAAGTGATGAGAAAACACGGACGTGTTTGGTTTTCACTCAGACAATCTCGAGTTATCGACGATAAAAAGCGGTCCATTTTGCCCAACTGTTCTTTGATGATGCCGGAAGAACTATCAGTTACAAAAATTACATGAATGATTTTACATTTATTTCCAAAACACGACGAAATTGATATTTTTAGAGAATTATTAGAGGAGGTCGGGCCAAATGGGCCGTTTTTCATCGTCAGTAACTCGAGACCGGCCGAGTGAAATTAAATGAATTCGGCACTATTCCCTAGTGATTGTTACAATGCTTTGAAATAGGACCAATTGCATCTAAATAGTACTATTTGGAGCAAATCCTTCCTGAAAATAAAAAGCAATATCTCGAACGAATGGGGAAAGTAAGGCGGTTTTCATGAGTACAATGGCCTTGCGTCGAATTTTCATGAAGCCCGCCTAACAAACAAAAGAGAATTGAATACCATTCTATGAAATATGACTAAACGAATCATAATTGTCCAAATCATTGAGGTAAGAGGAAAGTAGAATAATTCTACTTTCTTAATATTGCGTTTACTAAGGATTTCTTCGAACAAAGTTGATTAGAATTAATAGCTAGAATTATGAGATTACCTCACATTTTTGACGTCAAGGATAGGAGAGTCTGAATGCAATGCAGTGAAAATGATGATCGATTTTTTCACTTTGAACAGATAATATTAATATCCAAATACAAAATTTCTGGTATGAATAAAAAGAAGCTGTGACTCAATATTCCAAATGAAGTTTTAATTTTTAATTTGGTGCTGAAAGCACGAGACGACAATATTCTGAGCACGGAATTATATTGATGAGATGAACAACAGATTAATTGAATTACCGCGTGAACTAACTAAAAATTGATAACAGTGTGGGCACGCACTTTTACCAGAGTATCGACAAAGATTGAATTCCAGAAATTCCCACTCGAAAGTGTGTTCTAGAAGGAATTGAATTGTAATTACGATTAAAATCTTATTCAGTGAGCGTAGGAATTAGAATATGAGCAAATTATTTAATGAAATATGAAAATTTAACAGCTGATAAATTGGGACATGTGATTCCCATCCGTCCCAATGAGAATGATTATAAACAATTAATTGAACGAAGGAACATGAAATCTGACAGGAAAAGGGCACAATAAAAAAGCATCAACATTAGCGCTAATTTTTTATTTACAATTTGAAATCGACTTCATCTCGAAGTGACGGTGTCACTCAATCATGCGTTAGTGGCCCCTCAAAGACATTACGCTGGATCTGAATATTACTCGCTAGAAGCTTCACATTCTTCTCACGGAATTGCCACGTGAATATTTGCTTTTATTTTCTTTGTTCAATGCCGCGTGAACGAGTTGCGCTGAGCATGCAGCAAAAAGGGGAAAAGGAGGCTGTCGTTTAATGTTTCAATTCGCCTCGATTGTACAGAAAAAATTCAATGTCATTTAGACATAACTGGTGCATGAAAACGTGACCGAAAATGGAAGGAAAGACAATGGGGGAGTGAAAAGGTTAATACGCACTGTGAACATTCGGCGGAATGGGGTCCCCATCTCTTTTTACACTATTTTCCTCGACTTTGCGAGAGGTAGTTGTTGTTCTGAGAACTTTCTAGTGGGATGTTTATCGTACTGCATATCAAGGGCGTAATTCGCTGAAGGAGGAAAAATCAATGCTGCATTTGAAACACAAGCCCTTACCTGTGATGCGGAGAATATCCCTCGATAGCCGGAATTTTAGTGAATTTTATTTCAGAGAAACAATGTTTTTGGTTTCTAGTTATCGCCAAGTACTGGATTCCAGTGGAATTTGTCTGAGAATCAGAGAACAAGTTTTAGTTCTCAGTAATTTCCAATGGAATCCAGTAACCAGGGATGTGGCTACATTCATAAATCATAATTACCATTAAATTTTTAATTGTTTAAGTAATCATTAATTTAAATATTAAAATTTGGAACTATTTTATCGATCAATAATTTAGGTAGGAGACTGCCGATTAGTTGGTTAATCGATAATCCCTTTTACGAAATTAAAAATATTCACTTAATCGGAAATTTGAACTATCAATATTATATTATGTTTACATTTTGAGGAGTATATTTAAACATTTATTAATCTGAGTCACAAATACTTTCAATATTGAAGAAATATAATATTGATGGCGTTGTTTGTAAATAAGTAATTTAAATTGTTCAAACTATCCACTTTCATTATTTTTTTTGGCATGATATCGATTTCTGCTAAAATTCTCAACGATTTGACCCGTGAAAAATTGATTGTTTATAAATTATTGCTAATTTATTACTTCTTCCAAAAGTAAACTTTCTAATTTTTCTCAGATTTTAAAAATGATTCAAATTCAGACCTGCAAAGTTTAAGTAATAAAATCATTATAAAATGTTCGAAAACTTCGAATCACATTCAGAGAGCTGAAATCACTTCGTCCCAGCGATTTCAGTGGATTCAACGACGATTTCATCACAGAGAGTGGCGCCATAATTCCACGACAGGACGTTATCAGATTTTGACCAGAGACTTTTACGCATACAGATAATTCCGAAGCGTTTATCCATTGTAAAATGAATTCATTTTCGCTATGAATTGTTTGTCCCTCGCAAAAATAGAATCACATGAATGGGAGTAATTGGCCGAGATAATTGCAACGTTTGAAATGAGTTTTCCGAGGCATCAACAAACACCACTGGCATAACATAGTTGTGGCGACGAGTTGTTCTCTCTGTGAACATTCTTCGACTGGATAAACCCGCATCAACTTCAGTGTCATGACAAATATGCTCACACATGGCCGCATGTGGGCTTTTCACTATTTTCGAGGAAGATTGATGACAGTGTTTTTACGGGGAAATATAGATGACAAATTTGATAAGGACACAAGCAATCAATTCGGAAATGTCACCCGTGACTAGTGTTACGAAATTGACCTTGTGAATTTTGAATATATTGATCGAAGACAAACACATGAATATATTAGTATTATTATTGTTATTATTATCAGTAAAGAATTTATGTAGTATGGAGGAGAATGTGAGGCGGAAGCTGAATCTGATGTAAAGCAAAGAAGAAACTTTTGTAACATCAAAGGAAATAAATAAATTGAATTGAATTGATCGAAGATAAATTTATCACGTTATATTTAATCTCTCCATCGAAATTTCAAATTTTTCGTTTCAGGATTAATAATTTTGGCCCAAGAGTTTGAATATGCACAATTATTACGCAAAAATAATTGTGTAAATCTATCCAATTGTGATTTAAAATATTCTTCCCAATGCCATTTTGATCGAGTTCGATCGTTAGATTGAATGCACAATCTATTGTTGAAATTTATTTTGAAACCAATATTGGGAGACAGATAAAATATTTTAACGTGGGGATAATATTGGCTGCCAACGTTGGGAGAATGTTGAATTCAATGAATCATTGAAGTAAATGTAAAATACATCGTCACAGAAATTCCATTTGCAAGTAAATTGCCGATTTATTATCCAAAATATATTAACAATGCTGTGACGAGAGGAATTTCCCACTTGTTCTCTTTATTCACCAAAAATAATGAACCAAAATTGCTGAATAAATCCATAAAATTGCTTGTTAATAGAGACAAATGTTTATTCATCCAAGAAATTCTCACAATCTCTTATTCCCCCCGCAAATTATTCCTCCTCATTCATTCAGTCATAAGATTACTATCGCCGGAAGAACGATGACTCGCGAATCTCTCCCCCACTTATCGTAATGATTTTTGTTTCTCCCCGAATGGAAATATAAAAAAAACATGAAATAACGCAACAATGAATTGCTCAACTTGACTCACCGAAGAAGCAGAAGAAGAATACGACGGAGTACAGCGTGATGAATATGACCCTGATGTCAATTCGGTCGAAAATGTAGTCTTCACTGATAGATGCATTGGGATGCAATCTCAAGGTTTCGTTGTTGTCGTTCGTCATGTTTCCATGACTGCTCCCCATTTCTGTCTCCTCAAACATCCTGCAAAGTGAAATGCAGTTGACTCCCGTTGCTTCTACCTTCTCCCTGTTTTTTTATTTCTCATTTTATCAATAGAGTGAGTTCGTTTCTACGAACGTGTCTCTCGCTCTGAGCATTCGAAAACTCGTTCGTGAAATGGACTCTCCCTTCTGGATGCAGAGTTACTCGAGCTACTCTGGTATTTCATGTCATTCGAGGCGAAAACACACCGTCCAAATTGGATGTATTAGACATTTCGGGAGAAACATTATTAACTGATGGTGTTTTCAAATTAAGAAATTACGAATGTTTAACATTTGCGACTGATTAGAATGAACAATTCAACAAATTCACGAGAATATTGCGACTAATTTGATTACAGAAACATTGGTCACAATTCCCGATATTTTTCAAATGAATAGAAAAATTCTAAATGAACACGGACAAAAAAAATTAAATTTTCAGGCACATGTCACTGATTTTCAAGAACCCATCTCTAATTTTTAAAAATCGATCACCAAATTTCAGTGATAAGAATCACTAATGAAACTAGTTGCGGTCAGTGCCCACTGACACCAATAATTGGTGATGAATTTCTGAAAATCAAAACTTGTTTTCTCAGCGAAGAATTTTGTTCCATTAAAATTCGTTATTTCTCTGAAGGCATGTGCCACAGCTAAACTCACAATGTTCTCATCTCATAGTAAATAAAACCGTAATATCCTGTCATTCATTATCCCTCCCACGACAATTATAATTAATTCCTTCCATATTCCACCCGAAATTTCCTCATTTCCCCGTTGACCCATCATTCCCCCCCTAAAATACTGATAATTAGAATGAACAATTCAACAAATTCACGAGAATATTGCGACTAATTTGATTACAGGAACATTGTTTACAATTGGCGAAAGGCAATAACGGTGGGGTATTAATCCGAATGCACATCACGTAACGGTAAAATCCGCCACATGATCCCACGTGTCAGGTTACGGAAGTGCACATGCGACAAATAGCTGGGGTGAATTTCCCGACCAAACGTATAAATTCGTAACGTTCCGACGATATCATCTGCACACGCGCAACAGCGATACTGCGGTTTGAGTTGAAATTAAAAACTAAGATAACACGAATTATTCGGACGATTTCCCTTTCCCCATAAAATTTCGGGAAGGTACATAAGGCACGGGCGATCAATAATCGTAGGCAAGATTGTAAATAGACCGTAAATTCAATTTAGTACTGCTGAGTATCATTTTCTGCGTTGTGTGTCGACGATGTTTAATTTATCGTAATAGATTGGATAACGGCCGGTTATATTTCATCATTCAGCGCATGTGGCTCACAAATTTCCGATAAAAATATACGATAATCTGAGGATGACAACAATGGGTTTTCCATTTTTTCTTCGGCACGGGAAGAGAATTTGATGAAAAAATACTGAAAAGCTCAGTTACACTGTTACACTGTTAAAAAATTAGTCCTGAAATTTCGAGTGAAAAAGTGGAAATTTTTTTAATTGAATCAGTGACATAAAAATTCCACGTGTTTGGAAAATTCAGACAATTATGTTTCTGAATTTTCAATCCATTGGGAATTCAATTGACTGTGATGGTTAATTTCCAAAATGAGTTTGGGAATTGTAGCTGTTATTAAAATATCAATGGTCGTCCACCACCAAAAACTCAACACTCTTGAATTTTTAAGTTGAATGAGAGATTCTATGAACGATTTGAGAATTTAAATGCTTGAATTTCAAGAAATTTGTAACAGAATACGGAATTGAAATTGTATAGACAGTTGGTGAAAAAAAAACGAGTGGAAAATTGCTTCCACTACCTACCAAGAAATTAAAAATTTGTTTCCGAATGGAAATACTGAGACGATGTATTTTAAACTGAATTAATGATTCAGTGAATTCAACATTGGCCCAACGTTGGCAGCCAATACTGCCCCACCGTTAAAATTATTTACCTTTCTCTGAATACTAGTTTCAAAACAGATTTTTTCAACAACAGATGATGCAATCAATCTCATGATCGAACCTGTCAAAAATTCTGGCACTGGGAAGAATATTTTAAATCCCAATTGGATTCATTGAAAAATCTATTATCCGGACCCAAAAAATTGAAAATTTCTGAGTTGGCGAGTGCAATGCTGACATTCGAAGCAAAAATGTCATGATTTCTGATTCCCCCTCCTGTAAATTCAAAATCTTACTCTGTAAATTGTGCCCACTGTACGAATATCGTTATCTCGGGAGTAGTAAAAGCTCATAATAGATAAAATGTCCTGCAGTTGAATATATGAAGACACTCTCGAGATAGGGTATCGTGGCAGTGGAGCCTGGAATTCACTGGAGCGTAATTCATCGAACGGAAACGACGCTCGGAGGCACTCGGATTNGGGGGGGGGGGGGGGGGGGGGGGGGGGGGGGGGGGGGGGGGGGGGGGGGGGGGGGGGGGGGGGGGGGGGGGGGGGGGGGGCAGAAAAAACTGCTCCAACTGGGGAATGAATTCGTGGAAAAAACAGCATTATGGAGAGAATGGAGATGCCATGTGGGTGGAAACGTTCTCGCATCAAAATTATAATGAAATTTCAACGCTAACTAACAACGATGATCTCCCGAAATGTTGGTGAGTCGCATGTCGAACGCGCTGTGCGCCTCAGCCCTATCTCATGTGCCTCCTTTTTCGCGGACGCTACTCTTTTTTTTTCGCCATCAATACATTGATAGTGCCTTCGTATAAGATGCCTTAGGGACAGTAGGAGAGTGGAATTCCGGGGAACCCCAGTGCCCCCCCTACGCGCTCCCATAGAGAGGAGAAAAATAGGGATCAGCGGGTTTCAAATCAGTAGCGAAGCGGTAAACCGGGTTAAGTCGATTTTGACTTTTGGCCATTTTTTGACAAATATCTCGGAATCTAAGAGAGATAGCAAAATTTTGCTCATTACCTTTTTTATAACCCTCAGTTGGCTCTACAAAAAAGGTCATGACAAAAAATTTTCTATCTCTTTTAGATTCCCAGATATTCGTCAAAAACTGACCAATAGTCAAAATCGACTTAACCCGGTTTACCGCTTCACTACTGAAATAAGATATCTCGCTCGGTGCGCCCGAATTCAATGAAATTTTCATTTTGTACTGAATGAATATCGATAACTAATCAATTTATATGTGTTTAATGTTTTGAATTTGTATCGCCCGCGTTCCCTTTCCTCTCTAAACATATTAGAGGGATATCAACATTTCAGCGAGAAGAAATTAAAAAAATGAAGAAGGAGTGGGCGGGAGCAACGAAAAAAATAGTCCCCCTAATTCACTTACGAAACGCTATTTAATCCCATCGAGAAAGGAAAAATGAATTTCCGCATGAATATTCATGACTCTTGGAATTACATCAGAGCAAACAGCCCAGTTTTTTCCAATAAAATTCATCGATAGCCCAGTGATGATCGGAATCGCAATTCATAACGCAATTACTCCACATGTGCACAGTTCATGTTTTCCCTGTGCATGGAGAATCCGAAATTTACCCAACGAAATTCAAATGCTGTCATTTTCTTGCAGCCGTTTTCCCACTCGCGCAACGATTTCCTCTGCATACATCCGACTCTGTGTTTGGGAATGGTCACAGTAAGCAAGCCCTCAAATCCCGGTGGCCAGAGGCGAGACCCAATTTTATTATAATTTCTCATTGTCCAGAATTTCTAATAAGACCGGTGCCATCGGGCGATCGTGCGACCGACTGAGCGCGTATCTCCACTACTTAGAGATTCCCTGGAGGAATTTCTACTGTTGACCGGTCGATTCGCTCTCCCGAGCCACTCACGCAGCCGTTCTGCATCGGAACTGCGGTACGAACTCTTTGTTAGGAATTAACAAAAAACGCTGAGTAAATACGTCCGACTGGGGATGAAACAAGATTGCTTGTGGAATCAATCACTCCCGCTACTCTCTAGGACACTTCTGTGACGGTAAATGCGGAAAATGCGAAAATATTCGCATTTACTGTGATTTTTTTAGAAAAAATTGACTACTTGATTATTATTGTTGTTATTGTAATGATCCGATAAAATTTTTAGTCTCCAATAATGAATTTCTGTCATTTATTTATTTTTATTTGATTTGTAAAAATTACGCTTGTGAAGTTACTATAGTGTTATGTGCCGCATACAAAAAAAATTGTATCGTTCACCAAAATGCCTCAACTATTTTCTTATTGTAAATCGAACTTCAGATTTTTCTCTCAGTGAAGCTGTGCGCCAAGCATGTGAACTCTGTCAGCGCTTACGCGTCACGAACTTGAGGCATTGATACACCGGAGACATAATTCTCTAGTAGGCAAACGGTTCTCGTCTTCACAACAATAATCGGATGAAATTTCCCGACTAGGCATGGCGAATCTTGACATTTGCTGATGGGACTCAGATGGGATTCAGCTCATCAGCGTCATTTCATGAAATTGATAATTCTGCGGCATGGGAATTACATTTAAATGTCAACGCACGTAAAATTCGTGTTATTTAATAAACGAATCTGGGAGGCATCGGCGCTCCATCTCCCCAAAATAATAAGTGGTTCTAATAAACGTATACGGAAGACAAAGAAAATCGCTCCCCAATTTCATTATCCACTGACAGACTATTATCCGATTGATTGAAATCGTGTTTGTGCCTCGCAAGTTCATTCTGCTCTCTATTTTCATTCTACCTTTCTCCCGTGAAATCCAATCGATCCTTTTTCCCGATATATACATGACGGAGCAGCGGACATTCAACGGAATTCGTTTGTGAGAACAGCACATGGAGAAAGTCTCCATGGGCCCGTTTGAAATTCCAATCGGGAGGATACCTACAAGCATTATCCTCGGCAAAAAGAGGACCAAAAATGTATTAAGCCCCGTTGGGTCGCGAAACTTGCCTCGAAGGTTTTTGGACAAGTTTTACAACAGTTGCCAATTCGCCGAGAGTGGGGAGAAATCACCTGTGAAACTTGGCAACTGTTGGCCCCTCCTGATTCAGGAAGTGAAAGATGGAGGAAACTGAGGGGGAAAAAAGATGAACAGGAGAAAATTCTTACGGTGGAGGGAAATTTTCGCCGATACTTGGGGAACTTCCAGCACCAATGCTCAACAAAACTGTTGGGAAACTGAGTTGAATTTAAGAAACGGGAAACTTGATTGTTGCTCCCTCAGGTGTAATTAGGCACTCGGTAAGACATTATGTGGTGATTGCAGAAATCCCGGAATGACTGCGGAAATCTCGGGCTCCGGAAGTATGAGGTGAGATTCAGTGGGGGTTGAGAGGCAATTTATTGATTTTAAATTAAATTCTTATTAAATTCAAGAGAACAATTTATCTATGCCAAATGTATTATTTATTAAAATCAAATGAACAATTTGTTTCTTTCACGTGGCCCCTGCTCCTTCCGCTCGCGAACCCTCATATGACCCTCGTAATCCTCATTTTAATCTTTGTGGCCCTTAATCTGAACCTTGTGAGCCTTATTCTGACCCTGTGACCCTCAATCTGACCCTGTGAGCCTTATTCTGACCCTCATGAGTCTTACTCTGAGCCTCATTTCCCTGATTCTGACCCCCACGCCCGTTATTTTGACCCTCGTGACCCTGATTCTAACCCTTGTGACCCTTAATCTGACCCTGTGATCCTTGATCTGACCCTATGAGCCTCATTCTGACTCTCATTTCCCTGATTCTGACCCTCACGACCTTTATTTTGACCCTCGCGACCCTCAATTGTGTTTGTTGTCTTAATTTCGAGTACAAAATTTTTATCAAGTCGATTTAGATTTTTAGAATATAGAGAAATATTATTGAGTAGTGCATATCTTTGTCCAATAAATACTTATAATTTTATTCTCACGTCCAAACATCGTTTTTCGGCCGATCTAATTTTTTTCAGTATGTATTTAATTCAAATAAAGAAAATCTTTATTCATTATTAATGATGAATTTATTTGAATCAAATAAATATTCATCATAATAATAAAACATAATTTTAAAAATCATTCATTTCAAATAAACAGAACCTCAAATAAAGAAAAATTTTCAATTTGAATAAAAACTTTATTTCGTACGATTAAAATAAACGCATTTATTTGATTCAAACAAATGATTTTTCTGGGTGCAAACGTCAGAAAAATACTTGATCTATTGGAACATCGTCAACTTGTCAATTCCCCTTCTCTGAAAAGCTCGGAAATGTTCTATCGGCTTGAGTGAATGAAGCACCCATCAGCCGGTCGTGCAAAGCTCAAGATAAGTATTTTCCCCAGCAGAACAATGGAGCGAAGAAAGAAGTATCAATACTAGTACTCATAAAAGTCGAGGGAAAGAATACCAGATGGTCGTACAATAGGGACTCTGAAAAATACGTTATGTCAGCTGTGGTCCTGAAAGGATCAAATGGCTATGAAAATTTTATTCCCCGGAATTATATACTGTTACGAGATGTGGAAAGCAATTACTCCCCAATCCAATAACCGTTGAGATGAAATTCAATTTTGTCGAATCAAATGTGTACCCATGGGCGAATATAATCCAAACTTTATCCGCATCTTCGACGATGAACGGAAGTTCCGTCTTTCTCTCTCGTCATAGCGGCGTGTGACATCAAGTTATTCATGCGGAATTTATAGCGACTGTGTGGATTGTCAGGGAATCCACAGCAGCTGCTTGTTCTTGTTCACTTGATAAGCTATTTGATTTCGCAACCTAGATTGACTGCGTCACGTCATTGTTGCGATGACATGTGTCTGTTGAAGCTATCAATCGCGCGTTGGCATAATTACCTAAACAGTGGATTCAATGTGTGATATTCTCAGTGAAGTAATGTGAGGATTTTCGGGATTTTGGACAATGTTACGAATTTTTGGAGGAGATTTCAGGTACGCTTCGCGGAAATTTTTATGACAATTTAATTACACTGATTTTTCAACGGGTTTTTTTCACAACTTTTAACCGGTTCTAGGTGTTTTTTGAATAGTTTTTTGAATAGCGAATGAAGAGTTTTTTATTTTGAAGATATTCATCTAAAAATTTTCAACTGAAATTTCGGGTAAAGGTCTTGGGAACTTCTAACAAGTAACATTTACAATAAAATTTCAAGGAATTTTGTCATTGAGAATTCATAATTTCATGGAAAAATCAGTGGGAATTATAATTTTTAGTTTAATTGTTTCGGAAAATTAATGAAAAAACTGGGAAATTTAAGAGAGTCAACCTACATTGACTGTGCTACGAATTTTTGGATGAAATTTCAGGTACGCTTCGCCGAAATTTTCACGACATTTTGGTTCCAGTAAAATTTCAACGTGAAAAATAGAAATTCATAGAAATTCAATAGAATTTTCTAACGAATTCGATAGGTTGTTCTATTAAATTTTTTCGTTCGTGAATATCAGTATTGACGGATCGTGTAACATAAGAACGCACCGGCAATCTAGTTCACCGGGATGAATGGACATTTCTTTGTTGTCCCCCGTTGTTAGGAAGTTGTCACTGACAACATAATGCGGCATTGTTTTCGTGGTATGTACACATCATTGCGACGGGCATGAAGCTGTACTCTGCGGGTAATCGGATTCTGCAGCGCTATGACAAACCCTGACGAGCATCGTAACGAGGGGATATAACATTCTCGCGCTTGTTTATTTGCATGTCGAGTTTATTCAGCGTTTGCTCGATGAATCATGTGATAGCGTCATTGAGACGCGAAATTTGTTAATTATAATTGTCATTAGAGAAAATTTACCGTTAATTCTATAACTTTTCTATTGATTGAGAGTCGTAATTAATAAATTGGTGAAGAATCATTGTTTTCAGATTGAATTATATGAAATGCCGAATTATTATTACTTTCTTGTCATTTTATTTTTTTTGCCCTCAGAGTCTTTCATAGATAAATTATTAATCATTATTATTACATTATTATTTTTATTTCATTATTGGTATTATTGTCATTAAATTATTCTACGGTGAAACGGTGAAAAAAATTAATGGATATTTACTGCCCAATTCCCTGAATTTTCAAGGAATTTCCTGAAAATTCAGAGGAGTCTTGAATTCAAGGAGAGATTTCTGTGAATTTTCCTGATTTTTCATTAATTTTCTAGGAATAACAGAACTAAAATTCACCCATAGATTTGTTCATGAAATTATGAATTTTTAATGACACAATTCCTTGAAATTTCAGTGAAAATGTTACACTTTAGAAATTTCCAAGACTCTTACTCGAAATTTCTGTAAAAAATTATTCACAGTGCAAATTCTCAGTCATTAATTCATCAATTATCATTTTTTAATTTTCATGAGATTACTCTACGTTTTTTAATGGTAATTTCGGAGTTATAAATTCCATTTTCTAGTGTAAACCGTTCAGAAATGTAACGGTGAAAAAAAATCAAATAGCATTTCCTCATAATATTTAAAGATTTATTTTGCAGGTGAAGCACGTTTGAAGCATTTGAAATGAAGCAGATAAATCGTGAAAAATGCGTTTAATAGCGAAGCCAACGAGTGCTTGAGATTCACTTACATGCTCTGTCACTCAATATCTCGTGAATTCAAGGTGATGAATTTACTGCATCAAGCGTTGCCGGGAAACTGACATGAAGCGCATGCAGAATTATCGCGATAGTTCGACAATTGAGTGTGTATGAGTGAAAAATAGTGCGATATATTGTTGGTAGGAGATATCACATTGAAATTCCAGTCTTCATCGTCCCTGTGAAATGTGAAACTGATTCCACAGAGACGATGAAGGGTTAGATGAAATGTGATATTGATGGGTCTTCAAGAGGTATTATTGCATTTCGGGTATTTATGAATTGTTCGGGTTGTGCCAGTCAACCGAACGCAGGATTTCTACGTCTTGCGCTGCTAGGAAGTTCACCTGGAGAAATTACGCATTCGAATTGAATAAAAAAATTTATTTGCAATCTTTCTATTCATTTCAATAGAAAATGTTTTTGGTGTATGAAATAAATCATCAATTTATTCCAAATGGAGGATTATTACATGTTAATAAATGTATTCATTTCGCCTTATAAAGAATTATTCAATTTTTCAAGTATTTATTTCGGTAAAGAATACATTTGTTTATATATTTTTTTAATTTATTTTATTTATTCAGTGTGAATAAAAACTCTAATAAAAATCCATTTCAAGAGCTTTATCAGGAATTATTTGAACAAACTCAGATATTTATTTAAATAAAAATGTTTTAATTAATTATTGTATAAAATAAATAATTTATCATAGTTTTATGAATTCGTTCTCTTCGTTGTTTTAACAATTATTTTATTTATAACTATTAAAGTTTTTGTTTAGATTGAGCACCATCTGTTAATTTATGAAAAAAAATTTGAACGTTTACTTTTAGAGGAGGATTGATGAAATAATTAAAAAATTGCAATTTTTGTAAATTCAAGTTTCCGAAAGTTTAAACCATTTCAATTATTTATTTATAAACAACGAATGTTTAAAAAATAATAATTCTGTGCAAAATGTAATTTGAATGACACTGAATATTCATGATTTTGTTTAAATTTTCACGCAATTTAAATGACAAATTTGACGATGGAAAATGGTCAACTTGGATACTTACGATACTTGGATATCCTTAACAGTGCTCAAGGCCTGGCGGCTAAATTTGAATTCGAGTATTCCCGCTAAATTGATTGTCGTGTTCGACAAGGCTGTCATTGCCCCCCACCCGCGGCTCGGCCACTCCACCTCAAAGAGAAGAGTAAACCAACTGGAAGGCGGGAGACCGCAGTCGCTCATCGTCCATCTTAATCTCGAATTCATATTTCATCCGAGTGGCATCTGTCAGGCACTTGCAAAGGAACAACAACATTGAATAAAAACGAGTGCACGAATAATCATCGCGAAGTGATGAATTGCCGCTGTTCCAACTGAATTATCAGGACGTGATTGATAATTTTCAGTGAATTGGGAATATACAGAGTACTGTGGGAAGCTGATATCTGGAAAGTGGGCAACTGCCTCGTGATGATAGTATCGTGCACTGTGGGAACCAGTTGTTCTCAAGTTGGATAGCGTGAGCCGCTGAATCGAGGCGCTAAATTAACCAGAATCATCAACACTATGGAATATGGTACAGAGTTACTCTCATCGCACTCCGAATTTAATCAAAAATCATTAACAACTCATCACATTCGGTTTCATTCCAACTGTCGAAGTTAATTGAAAGGAATTTGCCAATTACATTTGAATAAATTCTACTCATTTTTTTTCGATTTAAGGATATCCAAGTACTTTGGCTGTTATTTCTGCAGTAAAATGGTTTTCTACTTTTGCAGCCGAACATCAGAGCTTTCATTTGCGCCCCATTTAACCCTAACTTTCCAGACATTTTACAACGATTTTATTAATTAAACTTTGCAGCTCTGAATTTTAATCTCGATATTGAACCGTTAGACAACATTTAAAAAACCGGAAAAAAAGAAAGTTTACTTTTGGAGGGAGATGATGAAGTAATTAAAAAATCGCAATAAATAATTTGTAAACAATTAATATTCTACCATAAAAATCATTTCATGCTTAAAAAATACGGTTTCTCAAAGTTTGAATAATTTCAGTTATTTATTTGTAACCAACGAATGTTTGAAAAAATAATAAATCTGTGCAAAATCTAATTTGAACGACGCAGAATATTTTCAAATTTTCCTCACGCAATTTAATTGACAAATTTAATGAGTGAAAATGGTTGAATCTATAGTGTGCGATCAGTACTAAAATGTAAAAGATTTCAGATTTACAATATTTTTAGGAGAATAATTTCTCCAAAAATACTTTAAACCTGAAATTTCACATCGTTATCGAGGCGCTAAATTAACTGGAATTATCACCACTATGGAATATGGTATAGTTATTCTCATCGCACTCCGAACCCAACGGAAAATCATTAACGCCTCATCAAATTCAATTTCATCCCAACCATCGAAGTTAATTGAAAGAAATTCCCGATTACATTTGAGTAAACTCCTATCCATTTCATTATCATTCGATTTAAATCCCGTTGCCATTTATAATTTTTTGAGGGGAATAATGTGTCCTCGCAAATTTCACATTCTTATCGTGCAATTCCGGAGCCATGCTTGATAAGAACAAAACAGTAATGTGATTTGAATTGTCAACAATCATACTATAGTGCATAGTGCAAGCATTCTCAAGTCGGATAGCGTGAGCCGTTGAATCGAGGCGCTAAATCAACCAGAATTGTCACCACTATGGAATATTTGTATAAAATAATTCTCACCGCACTCCGAATTCAGTGAAAAATAGTTAACAACTCGTCATATTCAATTTCACCCCAACTATCGGAGTTAACTGAAAGAAATTCCGCGATTAAATTTTTGGGTAAATTCACTCTTATTCATTTCATTATCTTTAAATCCCGTTGTCATTTAAAATATTTTGAGTGGAATATTTTGTCCTTGCAAATTTGCCATCCTTACCCTGACATTTCAGAGTGATGGCCGATAAGAACACAAAGACACAGATTCGATAAATTTTATCTCGAGATTAAAACCGAAAATCGCTTTCATCGCGGGAAAAAACAAATGCCATTTCAATCCTAATAACTGAAGATCGGCAGAGTGAATTTTCACAATCTTTTTTTCATTTTGAAGGTATTTTTCCAGAGCTCAAAATGAGCACTGCGAAATCGTAATGGCATCAGTCGATTCGAAGATATGAATGATCCAAGAAAGTTCATTATCCTTTCAATAAAAATCCAGTGTAACGTTTATTGAAGTCAATCTATTCGGCGTATTGTGTCATTAGATTTTTCATAAATGAGCATAGCATACCTTAAAGATATTACGATAATACTTTATTATATTATTATATATATATAAAAAAATAGAATACATTCGTGAAACTTTTCCTTCGGAAAACGTGATACTCACTTCAGAAATTTAATATAACACTATTCACTACAATTGACATATATTAAGCCCGAAGAAGTAGTATAGGAGGAGTAGGACATACGCGCGCGGACTAGTCTAGTTTATTAAAAAATAGTAATTATCATGATTAGTAAAAGTGAATTCTAATTCTGAACTTTACATTCTGATATCTAATTCAAAGTACCTTTTCCGTAATTCCGAAGCGAAATGTAGTTGTAGAAAATTTTACGGAACTGTCACATAATTTTTACCTAAAATCACGCAATTTTTCCAGAGCGTTCCGGAATTTTTGCTGAATATTTCTCTCCGTGTATTCAAGAAATTAACTGATTCGTCAATGAAGAAATACGCAGAAATTTCATGTATCTTTGTCATTGTCAAAAATTTCAAGCTTTTGATTTCACTTGAAATTTCAAGACTAATTTTCTAACAGTGTTGTCAAAAGTAATTTTTCCTCTCAGTGTAGTAGAATTTATACGAACCGTCAGGGGAATTGCCCACCTCACATATAATCCCCGACTCTTCACGTCACAATCTCCGAAGAACAAACCCATTAACCGACGATAATATTTTCATTAGCCGCTATCAGAGCGAACGAAAACTCGTGTACAAAAATTTAAAAAACCAACAAAATAGCCCCGACTATCTCACCTCGCATTCCAATCTTCACTTCGAGTTGTTGATTCCATTGACATTTCGTTCACACCGAGACTCACTGGCATTTCTGGTCTATTTAAGAAGCGCGAGAACGTGAAAAAATCTTGAGCAAATATCGTTATATCGTTGGACTGCTATTCGATGCAAAATTTCAATAAATCCGAGTGAACACTTCACTTACATTCACTAATTCCGCAACTACAATCTTCCCTTTTCATTTATCTGTTATTGTCAGGCTTAATTTCACAATACTTCGTTGCTCTCCTGGACGATGGATGATCTCAAATCCGTATAATTGGACAAATCGGATGTCCGGATTTTTACTATTCATCACAGAACTCCTCGTTTTGTTTTATAATCCGTTTTCACCAGTTATGTCATTCGACTCGGCTCTCGGTATTTTTAAATTTATCCTCGTAATGATAAACCTAATTCGGCAATTAAAATTCATCGTTAGATTTTTAACGATTGTCTTGTTCGTTCATTTATGCATGTCGAGGAAATGTTGACAATTGTTTCAAGTTCCATTCAGTCGACTGAAGAACATGTTTTACACCTGTATGGCTTCAATCTGGCACACGTTCAACATTTCGTCAACGATACTCTACTTGTTTCTCTCTTCTCAGTCACGAGGATTCAATGAGAATTAAAGAACAGATGTTCTTTCGGTGGAAATCACTGTTATAATTCTTTAATTTATTTTCTCGTGATAATCGTTCGGGTTTCTCTGGGATTTAAGTTGACATTTAGCTTTGCAATTCTTCTGTTTAATTTTTTGCGGTAATCTTCGTGTTTCGGTGCATGCGGAGATAGTGACTAGAAGGGTTTTGGGGTCGTTACACATTTGAAAGGTTTATTTATCATTTAGATTTGCTGGTGGAGAGGGAGGATTTGACACTGATGGAATTAAATAGCATCATTTTAGAGTACATCGGGGGAATTAATCCGAGATGATTACATTTCTGGGGTAGAATTTGTCCTTCGACCGGTACGCCGTTTCGAGCGGCACTGAGAGAACCGCACGTTAACGCATTCTATTTCGAGGTGTAATGCTTAGATGACGCGCATGCGTTTGTGGAGATGCCACCTTTTGTCACTGAAGACATTGGAAAATGATTCTTCTTGTTCTTTCAGCATGCGGTTTGGCCGTTTTCGGGGGGAGACGAAGTTTACAGTGGGGTGGGGACGTTTCGGGGGAGATGGGACGCCGCTGAGTAATGGGGAATCACAGGGAAAGATGTATTGCCAATGAAATTGGAGATACTTTGTTTCATTCTGTTGCGGATGGGGATGTTTGGTTTGTTTTGGAACAGGGGACTCAATTGCTTCATCATTTTTGACACGCTGTGTCGGCCACTATTTTTGTCCGCTCTCTGCGCTAGAATTAAAGCTCACGGGGCGGGGGGACTCGATGGTACTTGACATTCTGATCTCGGGGGGTTTTGCTCCGTTGGTGATCGGAGATTCGTCTTCCGGCGAAAATTCAACTGGAAAAATATGTCGGGGCATAAAGTTTAACGGAAATTGAATTATGAAATGAAGAGGTGAATACTGCGAAAGTCCAACTGGGACAAATTTATCTAGACGTTAATGGAGAAAATTTTGAAATGGGGGTGATGTGTACAAAAATTGTTCAAAAAATTTGGTTTCAACGGAATTTCAAGGATGTTTATCATTGAAAGTTCACATTTTAATGGAAAAATTGAGCGAGACTGCCATTTTCAGTTGAATTATTAAGTGAAAATTAATAATTCAATTTATTTAGGTAATTTTTGTTTTCGTGCTGTTTAAAAATTGGGAATTGCGTTTATTTTCAGTGGAATTTGAAACTTCGTAATTTTAGAAATAGCAGTTGTCAATAATGAAACAATTATTATCACAATTATTATGATAACTATGGAGAAGAAATTCCGGGAGAATTGTGAATTGGAGACACTCTTTCCGGGGAAAAATATCCGCGAACTGGTCCTTTGAATTTAAATAATTGTTTTATATTTCGTGGAATTGGGGATGCGTAAAGCTGATTCGAGACGGAAACGAGGGAGGTCAGTACACCGAGGGGCGAGGGGATTAGGAATGGTGCACGGTAATCCTAAAATAATAAAAGTATTTCGCGGAGTATTATAAGTTAAAAGTTGGCGAAGAAGAGTTAGAGTTCCCGCGAGTGTCTGATCCACGCACCTGTCGTGAGTCCCACACGGGTCTCAACCTTCTAAAACGGGGGGGACTGCAGACTTTCTGGTGGATGAGATTGAATTTTATAAGCCAGGCTAATCCGGAAGTGTTATTTTTATTAGCAATCGCGTTGTGAATATCTTTCTGGCTTTTTTGTCCGCTACGAGTGGGACAATTAGGAATTAATTGCGTTCAAACAGCAGAACTTACCGCGAAAACAAATTTTCTCAATCGATTGATGCGGAAGGGGAGTCTCGTTATTCTCGAGCCCTAGTTCAATCCCTGAACCCGAAAATTTTCAATTTTCAAGTAATTATTTCAGTGTGTACTTGAACATTTCTTGAGTATTAATTTTATTTGTCAGATTGATTGATTTTTTCCGATAACTTACGAGTGTCAAATTATTTTTATTGGATGTTTTCAAATCTTGCTTGAGAGTACGTATAAGTTCTAGAATTTTTCTAAATTTCATAAGAATAGGTCGTTATTTTTTTGGGAGATATGAAAATTTCTGCGATTGAGAGTGACGTAACCTCGGCCTTATCACTGGAGGGGTTGCAATCACATCCAAATTTCAGTATTTTTTTTCTCTCGGCCGAGATCTAGAAAAAATGCGAAAAAATTCCCAATGATGCAGGATATTCAGATGTTTCTCTCATGAGCTGTTAAATTTTTTTTCATTATTTTGACTTTGCACACGAAACACCTTAAATCATTTGCTTCCTCCCAGGAGCGAAAATCCAAAGCATTTTTGAAAATAACAAATCACATCCCGCGAAACATCAAGTTTCACCTCGAATTTAATTAATTCACAGTGAGATGCGATCGTGCTGCAATTCAAGGATACGTCAAACGCCGTTTTCCAGTTATCGACTGGTTACTAGTGTACAAGCCATCATGGCTACTACAAGATATTCTCGCGGGTATTACAGTGGGCCTCACTGCCATCCCCCAGGGAATCGCTTACGGTATTGTAGCCGGCTTGAATCCTGAGGTAACGTTGTGATATTAAAATTGATGTTCAATCAATCTCATTTTCGTTAATCCGATTTGTTCCGGCGTTTCCGGCCTCCTGGAGCCGCCGTTAAAGTTTCAGGGGGAAACGGAATGGGTTGATTGATTGGCCAAATATTTTTATTTAATGAGGATGTTTTGTTACTACTTCTCTGAGGGGAGACGCACCGAGGAATAGTTTATTTCATTGCAATAAACTTTATTTGAACCAGATGAGTGTTTTTCTTTTCGATTTAAACCTCGGTTTTATTTCCATTCTTATTCACATCAAGTGAATATTTTTTTTTATAGTCCACTGAAAAAACAAGTTAATAACGAATGGAATATCTACGACGATGTATTTTAGATTAAATTCAATGATTAATTGAATTCAATATGGCTTCAATGTTGGCAGGCAACATTGGGCCGACATCGGCAGCCAACATTGCGCCGGCGTTAAAAATTTTTACCTTTCCCTGAATATTCAAAATAAATTTTTTCAACAACAGTTGCAGTGATCGAACTCGGTCAAGATAGCATTGGGAATAATATTTGAAATCATAATTCGATTCGTAAAAAATTGGACATTTCAGATTTGACGAAGACAATGCTTCCATTCGGAAGCAAATATGAGAGACTCGAGAAAATAACGAAGAATCCATGATGTTCGATGTTCTTCCGAACATTTCGGCGCGGTCTCCCCTCAACATAACTAATGAAAACCAATTACTATTAGAAGACGAAAAACACTTTCATTTTAGTATGGACTCTATGCAGGATTTATGGGCCCTTTCATCTATATATTGTTCGGGTCATGCCACAATATAACAATCGGACCAACAGCTATAATGGCACTAATGGTACAGCCCCTCGTTTTTAACTACGGACCAGACATGGCAGTTCTAATTTGTTTCCTCAAGGGATGCATTATCGCTCTCCTCGGGGTCTTTCATTTAGGTCAGTACTAGCCCCTTTCGATTGTTCGACTCACCACTGAAACGAGAACGATCGCGCGCTTCAGCGCGCGTGTTAAAGACAAATCTTTACACGAAAACCGAGAGCCGACCGAAGTCGAACACGTACGGGCAGATCCGAATGTTCAAACAATGAAATTCGAGAAATGAGCGTTACGTTACAGCTCACGGCGTATGTTCTTTTTAGAATAGGAATAGGATTAGAATAGGATACTTTTGAGAGTTCTGAATAGCCCGTCGCTTAAATAGTTGGAGTCAACGTTCACCCGGCTAAAAAATTCGATTTTGGCGAAAGTCGACTTTCCCCCCGGAAAAACGGAAAATCTGACCCTTTGAAAATCTGAAAAAAAAAACTTTTTCAGTTTTCACTTTTTCCACATACTTTTGAGAGTTCTGAATAGCCCGTCGCTTAAATAGTTAGAATCAACCTTCACCCGGCTAAAAAATTCGATTTTGGCGAATGTCGACTTTCCCCCGGGAAAAATCCAAGATCTGACACTTTGGCCCTCGTGACCCTTGTGACCCTTTGATCGAAGTTCCCCCTGAAAAAATCCAAGATCTGACACTTTGGCCCCCGGTGAAAAAAAAAAATTTTCAGTTTTCACTTTTTCCACAAGAACGATCGCGCGCTTGAGCGCGCGTGTTAAAAACAAATCGTGACGCGAAAGCCGAAAGCCGACCGAAGTCGAACACGTGCAGGCGGATCCGAATGTTCGACCAATGAAATTCGAGGAACGAGCGTTACGCTACAGCTTACGGCGTATGTTCTTTTTAGAATAGGATTTTATGATCTCCACGAATGATAGGTAGTAAATGTAACCCCTGCCGATTAAATTGCATCACCTGATATTGTATTCGGTGACATTTCAGCAATTATTCATTTTCATCCTCAGGTTTCCTCCTGGACTTCATTTCCATACCAGTCATTACAGGTTTTACTTCAGCTGCGGCAATTAACATCGCTTCATCTCAATTTAAATCGCTCCTTGGTATCCCTGGCAGAAGTGAGAGCCTCGTTGAAGCACTCAAAGGAATTTTTACTAATTTAAACAAAATCAATTATTGGGATTTTGTTCTTGGAATTTGCACAATTGCTCTCCTCGTTTTGCTCAAGGTAACGAAAGGAAAAATATTCTCTGCGGAGGGAAAATCTGTTACGAATTACCCCTGAATTTTATTGATCGTGTGTTTTTCAATAAATTTCACCACAACTTTAGTAAATTGAATGGAAATTATAAAATTTTTCTGTAATTTTTACAAAATAGAGCAAAGTTGAGGAAAAATTATTGTTTGAAACGGAATAATAGACCGAAATGTAATTAATAAAAAAAACTTAGCGTGTAGGAAATTTTATTTTGTTAACGAGGATTTTGTGAAATCTGTGTCACAAAACATCTTCTATTGAAAAATAAGTGAAACATTTTTGGTCAGCAATCTGTTTCGCCAAGCATACACTAAAAAATGTCACAAAATAGGCAGTGTACACGATTAACAAAATTCAGGAGTAATTTTACCGGAATTTTTTCCTCAATGTGAAGATAAAAACGCGTTACACAACGTCCTGCAATTATTTCTCGTCCATTTCTCCAGCACATCCCATCGAAACGCAAGGGAACGCGCCTCGAGCAGGCCGGATGGATTGTCACACTCTCTCGAAATGCCCTAGTCGTTATTTTAGGCACAGTCATGGCCTACCTATTCCACATCAACGGAATGGAGCCCTTCCACCTCACCGGTTTGTCAACGAAAAATTATTCCAGTCATTATTTGTTTCCCCCTGTCTTTCTGATAATGTTTATCCGCAATTTTGGGGGTCAATACTAGGATCGCTGGGCAATGGGCTGCCCCCGTTCTCGCTGCCGCCGTTCTCAACTACATTCAACAATAAAACCTCCAATTTCGTTGAGATGACAACGAATATGGGAACAACTCTCCTCACTATGCCAATTATTTCCACGATAGAGCACATTGCTATTGCCAAAGCTTTCGGTAGGCCACATAATTTATAAATGATTTACAAATTTATTTTGTATTTTTAATTGCAAATTTAATTTGCATTTCTATTGGACTTCTGTATAAAAATTCTATTAGTTTTCGGCCGATTCTATTGAAAAATCTCCCGTCTAACCGCGTGATCTATTTGTTTCTCATAGAAAATATTAGACAGAAACTATTTTATAGAAAAATCAATAGACATTTCCTACACGAATGCCTTCGCATAAATTTCCTAATTTTTTTTCACTCACTTTTTCTTTCTTTCCATTTGAAAAATCGAACGAAAAAACGTGGAAAATTTGAACCCAGGAATTTTCATGGACAATATATCAATAGAATAAGTTGCATCGATGTTTGTCTATAGAATATTATCCACTGTAAATTTCTATCGAAAACTACTCGCAGACAAATTGTGGAATTTTTCAATAGAATCGACCAAAACTAATAGAAAATTGAATAGAAATTATTCAGTGAATTTTTTTTACGTGCAATGTTTTATCGACAATATCCAGGTTTTTAATTATTTAAAATCCTGCAGTATCGGTTGGAAAATTGGATAATTCAGAGGCAAATGTATTGTGTGCATTTTTTAGCTATGGGTAAGCCTCTTGATGCCACGCAGGAAATGTTGGCCCTTGGGATTTGCAATATATTTGGATCGTTTGTCAGATCAATGCCAGTGACGGGATCCTTTACGAGAACCGCTGTGAACCATGCGTCGGGTGTTAGGACACCACTCGGTGGATTATTCACTGGTGAGTTCAAAGGAAAAAGAAATATTCGAAAATCAGTCTTTTTTTTAACTGGCGAAATGACGCCAGTCATTTCGGCCTGAAATAAAATTTATCATTTCAAATTTTTCTGTTCGTTTCAATACGAATTTTTTATTTACATCGAATAAATAATCCATTGATTCCCAATAAAAAATGTTTACATGTAAATAAATTCATTCTCTTCGTCATCTGAACAATTGTATCATTTCTAATTGCATTATATTTGAAAAATGTTATCACTACTCTACCAGACAGAGATAAAAATGACAACTTTAGTATATTACAAAAACTCTATTCGTGTCTCCCTGATGTCCCCCAAAACAGATAAACAATAATTAATTCATTTATAGTAAAGGATTTTCACATGTTAATAAATTCGTTCTTTTCTCCTTCCAACAATTACTTCACTGCTAATTTATAAATTCTTTATTTTTCATCAAGGATTCATTTGCTCATATCGAAGTGTTTCTCTACACTCAAAAGCTCTGTCATGAGCTATTTCCATAAACCCATTCATTCGATTCATTTTTCCTCGTAATAAAAACGGGGAATTGCACTGTAATACGAATATTTTTCAATTGCAGGAGCTCTGGTGCTCTTAGCGGCGGGATTCCTCACTTCCTGCTTCAGATACATTCCCAAAGCCACACTGGCTGGTGTAATAATATGCGCAATGTACTACATGCTCGACTTCGGAGCTTACCGCCTCCTCTGGCAGGCCAAAAGTACAGTACCCCTGTCACTAGTCTCATTAACGTGTCTTATATTATTATTACTGTTCTAGAGGTGGACTTCCTGACGATGATAATCACTCTCATCGCGTGTGTCTTCCTCGGTCTTGAGTTGGGAATTCTCATCGGAATCTTAACGAATTTCGTTGTCCTATTTTATTTCTCGGCACGACCCGATATTCGAATTGAAATTGAACAGGTGAGAAGCCGATTATTTTTAATTGCAGAGGGAACACGCATGAAACAATTCAATAGAGAACAACGAATTCGCTGGGAAATTCTATTGGAATTCTCCAGGAATTCTATTTAAAATTTGTACTTGTTTTTGCACTGATTCTAATGCATATGCGGTCGGAAAAAGTCAATATGATTGGAATTTCTGTTCGAATTTTTCTCTTGAGATTTTTTGTATTAGAATTATGGGATTCCCGGATTTTTTTTGCCCGTGAAAATTAGACACGTATATTGGAACACAACATCAATTCATCTTTATTTAATGTAATATGTATTAAGGTAAACAATGAATTGACTAACCAATTGCGAATGAAAAAAACTACTTTTGTCATGAATTTTTTCATTTTTCTCCTTGTCAGAGAAAAAAAATCAATCAGCATTTTCTGAAGAAAAACTCAAAATAAAATCCCACATGAAAAAAATTCGTAAGGAAAATTGATCTCAATGAGAATAATTTGTTGAGAAAGGATTGACGGGGAAAAAAATCCAGGAATTTTTCAACGGGGAAAAAAACTCCGGCCATCGAATTATTGGGCCCAAATTTTGTAAGTTTTTTCCACTGAATTTTGTTTTGTTTTGAAAAGACTCTGGAGTTCTCTAAAACTTCAAAAAGCTTTGGAAAATTCATAGAAATCTTAAAAAAATCCCCAAAGTTTCATACCATTCAAAAGACTTTCGAAAAATTCTGAGAATTCAAAAAATTTCCGGACAAAAATAAATAATTCACGAAATTTGTACCTAAATTCAATCGCTTTTCTCGACAAAAAATTGTCCGTATCTCGTAAAATGGAAAAATAAAAAATGAGAATTTCGAAAATAACATAATTTCGAAAAATTCTAAAACATGGACTGCATCATTTCCCGGGCGCGCACTTCCCCATTAATCTTTCGGCCATTCGGCATTGTTGGAACATTCCCTTGAATTTACGATAAGATTTCTCGGTATCCACCAGTTTTTCCAAGAAACTTCCGAGATCCCATGAAAATTTCAAGAATCCCAAGAACTTCGCAAGAACTCATTCAATTTTAATCCCGCCATTTCCCCAAATTCCGCGAATAATTACCTCGCGTGTACATATTTGACGATGAAAATTAATCTCGTAATTTCTCCTCTTGAAGATCGAAGGACGTCCCGTTGTTTACGTCACCCCTGAGGAGGCAGTGACGTTCCCGGCGGCGGAAAATCTTCGTGCAAATATAATGAGGCTCTCGTTGGAGAGCATCGGTAACGTGATACTCGACTGCAAGAACTTGAAACGAATCGACGTAACTGTTGCCAAGGTGAACCGTTAAAGAGGGAAAAATCATCTTATATTTGTTTCTTATCCATCTTCCCTCTCATTCTCTTCACCTCCTCCTCCCCCTCCCCCCCGACGCCACACACTGACTATCGACCACCGGTCAAGCCAGTTTTATTTCCTGTCTTGCTCTAGATGTTTTATACTTTGGCATTGACACAGTATTTTTTCGACAAAATGACCTATTGCACACAATGCATTGTGTGCATTACTTGACACATTCAATGTCCTGCATTGAGATCTTGTCCCTAAAATTGTAATCATATTACTTATTATTATTATTTATATTATATTACTATTATTATTTCCTGTTCTTATATTACTTATTATGATATTACTTATTATTATTTTCTTTTCATTTCCGTCTTCATAATTAGATAATTTAATTTTATTCATTCTGATTTATATTATATAATTTTTTTCCCTCAATTCACAAGTTACAACAGTGAATGAAGAAGAATTATGTTAAAAATCAATCCAAAGTGGTTTTTTATGATCGAAACAAACACGAAACAATAGTCATTCAAGATCTCAGTCGGGTAATAGAAAAATCTCTGCTACACCTCATGAAAGAGTACCCATAAATTTGATTTCTGTCCTTGGCTTTTGATAGAATGAACAGAATTACCTAAATGGCAATGAAATCATGGTGTCACTCAATTGTAGAGTGAGTAGCCTCTTGTCGTGTTCGCGAGAGAATGCTGTGTCGATTAAAATATGTCCATTATTGGTCCAATCAACAGACGTTGTAATCTCCAATAATACGAGAATTACTGCAGTGCTCGATGGAGATATTGGAGATTAACGCGATCACTCTTACCACCAGAATTTACGTAAATTTATTGGCCACTCAATTGCCAGCGGAAGCATAGCTATAGATCATTCGGTCCGAGGGATGCATTATCCCATACTCCAGTGAATCCATTTATTTCCATTGTTTCTCGCAAACTTGGGTAGATGAGAGTAAATCACATACTTCTATATACATCACTCGATTTTTTTCCATTTTCTTACTCTTGGTTCTTCGAGGAATGGAGAGACGGTGGGAATGCACAGTATCATGGCTTTCTCTCTACTATTTCATATATTTACATATGTTCTCACGTATGTTTTCAGAATATAAAACTACTGGCTCAAGACCTATTGCTACGGGGCCAAGAGCTTATTTATGTGAATGCGACAGAAGATGTGAATCGCGTACTTAATACGGTCGCACCGGAAGTCTCGTGCACCTTCAAAATCGATGTAAGTACTTGAATTTTTCGGGCTTTCTAGTTCACTCGATCCTTTTTTTTTATTTTGGAAGTGAGAAAAATTGAAAATTTGAAGTCAAACGTTGAAATTTCGGAGGAGTTTGGGGAAAACTCGAGAAATTACGTACGAAAAAATTCAATAGAAAACCTAGCGAATTCGCTAAGTGTTCCATAGAATTTTTTCATATCTAAAATATTTTCATTTGACATATCCAAAAATTTCAAATTTTTTGTGGTTTCAAAATTTCAAGGATTCAATTTTTTTCATTTCCAAAGATTTTTCGAAAAGCCTAGAAATTTATATTCAATAAATTTCTATATCATCCCAAAAACTGAGAAATCCTGAAGAAATCGCAGATTTTCCTAAAAAAATTCAGGGAATTTCAATTCTATCTGTGATTACCCCTTCGTTTGAATGTAAATATTATGTGAAAAATGTTACTCCCAGTTCATAACCCTAGCTCAATTTAATATTAATGTGATCAAGTAGGTCAATAAAAAATAGGAAAAACAGAGAAGTTATGAAATTAAAAAATGTCAATAATTTTTAATTATTATGATTTTTTTTTAATGTCAAAAGATTTTTTGCGATGCAAATCATTGGAAAAACCTCCGAGAAATCTTGAAAAAATTACATATTTCCTTCAAAAAACATCAAAGCGTTTCAGTTCTGCCTGTAATTACCCCCTCTTTTAAATGAAAATTTAAAGTAAATGTAAATATTAAGTGAAAAATGTTACTTCCAGTTTAAGCCTAGCTCAATACATAAAATGTTCAAAGAATAAAAAGCGTTTCGTACGGAATTCAAGTATCGTTTCCCTCCCCGCGCTAAATTTGATCCTCAACTTTCCTAATTACTAGACGTAACTCGATGCTCCTGAAGCATGTGTTCCTCAGCAGTTTCCCTACTCTCGTAGATCCAGTAACAAATTCTACAATAGTTTCTCAAATGTGACTTCACGTGAGTCGAAAGGGACATCAGAGTTGCCACAGGTTCACCACAAAAGTTGCACTCGAACTGCGGAATCTTGCGCACCTCCTGGAGCAAAAAATTATAACAATTTCCTTCGACGTCTTAATAAACAATTCAATATTACTTACCGTCAGACCGGGATATTCCTCGGGGGCTGGGTTTTTCTGAGAGGTAAGCCATCTCTCCCCGGGCAACTGTAGAGGAATAGTAGAGAAACAACGTGAATACCCGTTGTATTATGAGAAGATACTGCGACACGAAGAAATCTCATGAAATTATGAGAAGGTAAAAATTCCGGCAACTTTTATCTCCTCTCCCCGGGCTTATTTTTCAGTCAGCGAAAAAAAAAATTATTTACATGCGCTTCATACCCGTTTTATTGCGTATATGAAATCCTTCTTCAACATTCTTTCGCTGATAATGCGATTGCAACGTAAATTGTACTTTGTCCCGTAATTGTCCATTCTGCACCAACTGCATGCGAAAAAAAAAATCACCAACCGATGAATTTCGTCTGTTTTCACAATGGGATAACTTCATGGCCCTAATGAAATAAAGGATTGCCTCGTTCTTGTTAATAATTATTATGAAAATTATTTATTTGTCTTATTCAAGTACATTCCACCTTACAATAATTCTGTATACTTTTATCAACTGAAGAAAAGAGCGTGATGAGAGAAAGATGAAAGTTAGAATTTAAAATAAAGAACAGTGGACCGCGGTTCTTATACTCAACTTATCAGTCAATAAGTTGAGTATGAGAAACCGAAAGAAATAAAAATCAATGAACAACCTGCTGTCATTTCTCATCCCTTTGTTCTACATTTAATTGCATAAAAAAATGTTAATCATTACTCTAAATAAATTCGATTCAACTATAAATTTTTTCTTAAATCCTTTTAATGAATATTTACAGTTTCAATGCGCTTCACTCAATCCCTCTATTATAAACATTACTTTCAGGCAGCTGCAATTGAAAATAAATTAATCAACCTTCATTCCTAAGGCGAACTATTCAGGAAGGCATGACTAGAAAATTGGGGCTGTTGATTTTCTTCACTCAATGAACCAGAGACGTAATATTGCTTGCGATTACTCATCTTCTTCCACTGAACAATCATTCCCATGTTCATTTGTTTAACTAGGTAATTAAATCTTGCTAGGACTCACTGAATCATCACTTGGCGGCTATTCTTCATCTTTACGTGATTGAATGGATACGACAAAAAATGGAAAAAGCTCAAAAGCTTTTTTATGAAAGATTTTTCAGTTTTTAAAATTTTTCATGAAGAAAAGAATGCCAATATAAAACAATTGCATTGCGTTGTCTAAACCACTAAAAATTTCTTTGTGTGTGTGACAGAAAAGAAAGGAAAATTGTTGGAACGCAGAGTGAAATTCCATCATCTTTAACTTTACAACCTCCGTATAGTTTCAGAATGAAGGTAAAATATGTAGGCTCGCTTGAGTCGATGCATCACGTACAAATAAAAATGTAAATCCATCGTGAATGTCGCCGGAACGACTGAGTTTTGTTCCTTTTAACATTCTTTGTTACTAAAATAATGAAAATACTTTATTATTTAGGTGATGAATGGTCATGACAATTGCACAAACTTTAGCTAGGTCAATAGCTAAACGAAAGTTGTGGTATGCTAGGAGTCTCTGGGGGTTCTTATCGATGAATCTTGGTGTCTCAGGAGGGGGGCACGCTCCTGTCGCACTTCGGGTAGAGTTGCTAATTCTTGAACGGGACTACGCTGCCATATACTTCTTGTTGCCATTTCGTGGTAGCCTCTCCTTCTCACCTGGTTTGAAGAAAAAAAAATTATTGTAGATAACGTTTTTTCATTGAACGAGTGATATTCCAACAAATATTTCAATTTTAATCTGAACATTTTAGGGATAAGTATCTTTTACAGTTTGGTACAGACCACACTATAGATTCAACCATTTTCGATCATCAAAATTGGTCATTAAATCAATGGAAAATGTACATTTCAGTTTAATCATTCTATAAAAATTCATAATAATCACGAAAAATCAAATAAATATATTCTTGAATTTGCAATTGAGTTATTGTCGTCTTGTTGCTCAAAAATTCGGAATTTCCTTCAACTTTCACCAAAATCGGAATTTTCAGAATCGTCGTTTTCTTAAATCCAATTAAATATCACTCTCCTAAAAATTACAAGTCCCCAATCCCTGAAATTTCCATGTAGAATGTAAATTTTCAAATTGATAAAACCCTCACCTGTCGAAATTTTCCAATGAAATTTAAGTAAAAAAATCATTCTCAATGTGAATCGAAATGAAAAATTAACTTCCAATGAAATTTAAATAAAAAATTCTCCCCGTGAAACTCACTTGTCTATGATGCAGCTCATGCAGGTACAATGTAGAAAGCGACATATCCGCCGCTGTGAGTTCCACAGGAACCGACAAATCAGCAGTCAATTCCTGTCCAGAGCCAAAGACCGAAGCCCCAAGTGATTGATTAGAAATTCCCTGTTGCAGTTCATAGAGCAATCCCCTCTCACAGTGCAGTGGCCCCTCCGCTTTACTCATCCCCTTCCTCACAACCTCCTCCTCCCTCCCCCCACCCCCTTCCCTCTCATACGCCGAAGTAGCAGGATGTCCAAACACCTGACTGATTCCCTGCAGGCTCAAATTATTGACAACAGAGCCCCTGATGATGTTGGTAACAATGTCATTGTACCCAGGGCCCAAACTCGAAAGACTGTTCAAGCTGCTCATCAAGGGGTTGGTGACCTCCCCAGGGAGTACACTGACCTCCCTCTTGGCCCTCTCCCTCAGAGCAGTGACGAAATTCTCGACGTGGCTTGGGGGCTTCCACTCTGGATTAGTCAGAGTGAAATGAATGAGGGAAAGCTCTGTCTTTCCGTCCTCAGCTTGAGTGTACTGATTCGACATTGGCGCTGGGATTCCCCCGTAATTATCGTCATACCTGTCGGAATAAAAAATCAGTTGTGCCTGGTTGTGCCTAGATTTTAACGTCAAAAAAATTCAATTCAATCGTAATTTTTGATTGCTATATCTCAAAAACAGCTTGACTAATTGAGTTTAAATTTACGATGTGCTCTCAAGCGATGCCAATTATTTCACAAAATTTCAGATTTTTAGCTCGAACTTTTCTCCTTTTTTCGTGAAGATTTATGAAAAAATTCTAAAAAATTCGCACACACACACGTTATCTACAAAATCATATTTTCACGTTTCATAACATTCTGCATCATTTTCAAGTGAAATTAGAAGATAGTCAAAACGGACGTTTGCAAAGCTTCCGTTCGGAAAAAAATTAATTTCTTGCAATTTAATTGAAGGAATTCATCTTCTCGAAAGAAGAAATGAAATAAATAAAAAAAATCAGGATTGTGTATTCAGTCACACAAATATTCTTATCTGATTACATGATCGATCTTAGCGACTATTTTATAAAGCCATCATTCAATGAATGCAGACCATTTTCTTTGAGTTATCGTGGGACAGCCCATTAAAAAAAAAATTCTACAAAATAATATACGAATTAAATTTTAATCAGTGTCGATGAATAGTTCTCTCCACAATCGACATTTGAAAAAGAATCCATCGATTCATTGGAGAAAAATTGAATATAAACTTTATCACACTGTATTTTCGAACTGTTGGATTAGAATGTCTTAAATTTAAACGATTACAAAAAAGCAAGTCTAAAATGAATTCCCCTACATACCCATCAGTTTTATCATCACCCGGAGTTATGGGAAGTGTCTGCCACATGGGATTGCCATGTTTCCTCACGTCCATTTGAGCAAAACTGCAGACATCACCGACCCCAGTGATTTCGATAGTGAAATTGCGGTAAAAGTCGACGATGTCAAGGGCGCGCTGGCGCATGTGGAAGCACAGGATGTAGGGAGTGAAGAGGGGAGAGAGTAGTTCCTCGACAAGGTGAACAGCCCTGTACTGGAACAACTGGGCAACTTGGGATCTCGTTGACTGGGTGTGGGCGTGACCCTTCCAGCTGTCTGGGCGATAGTGCGTGTGGGCTAGAACAGCTGTGAGAAGTGTCTCCGGACACCAGACGAGATTCTCATCTGGAATAAATGCTCGGGCCGCTGCCACCAGGGCTCCCAGGCATGTTATTGTCGTCAGAACGTGCTCCACTGTCAGCACATCTTCGTCGTAGACTGTGAGGATTATTAAAACAGCTAGGATACTTCCTGCCACGAAGGCCACGTTCTTGGCGAGGACTGTCATTACGGGGGATGTGAAAATACTCATGTACTTTGAGGCGGGCCGGTAGGCGCGGTTCAGACGAGCGTTTAACTCGTGGTCCAGCTCGTTGAAGTGACGGAGGTAGAGGCGACCGTAGAGAGACCACATACGGGTACCCAGGGTACCCGGTTCTCTTTTAATTAACTGCAAGGGGAGTTGTGGACTTTGAGAGGTGGTTTATTTAAATTGAATAAACTTTATTTGAATGTGGTGATGGGGTTTGTGCAAATAGATCATGCACTGGGGGGAAAAATTTCCTCTGGCGAAAAACTGGATGCTCCACGTGGGAATATTTGGTGGAGTGGTTTTACAGATTTAGTTGAGGGAAATTGTTGCGTGAGAAAATTTTTAAAAAATCATGAATATTCCGCGTCATTAAAATTACATTTTGCACGGAATTAATATTTTTTTAATAGTCGTTATTTATAAATAAATAATTGAAATTGTGTATCCGGATGGTTTGTCGGAAACCTTATTATAAAATCATTGTAAAATGTCCGGAACAAATTGACAACAAATTTTCGGGGTTTCACTTACCTCACCATAATTAAAGAATGAGTATAAGATCTGCCACAGGACGATCACAGGGCAGAGGATTAGGTTTGCTATCCCCACCCAGAGGATGTGCTTGGAGAGGGCTCGAGCGAGCTCCTGGCGTTTATTGAGCTTTTTGTAGTCTTCCTTCAGGTGCCAATTGTTCTCGAATGGTGACCATGGTCCCCCTGAAGTTCACAGAATCGACTGTTATTGATGAGTGATAAATATGCAAAGTCAACGATTAATTCCGGAAAAATTTGTACAAACATTTCAAAATGAAAAAGTATTGAAAATTATGAGATGTTTTTTTATTTGAATATTGTGATGAATTCGGAATCCGAAGGCTTCAAAATTTCAAAATTACAAAATTTCATAATTTCAATTTAAAACTTGATTGTAAATCCCTAAAATAGAAATACTCTACTCACAGAATAACAGCAACTCCATATTATACTTCAATCCCCTCGTCATAAAAATAACTTCACCAATCAGAGGTATTTTCAGTCTAACTGGCAACAGTGACTTATTAATCATAGCAACCATATAATTTTTGAATCTCAATATTCTGTGATAAATATCCAACTCGGTCAACTCCCTCTTGTGAATGCACATCTCCTGCTCCTTCTGCACCTCCCTCACTCTCTTTTGTATCTCGTGCCACGTCAGATTGTCGAGATCACTGTCGTCAATTTTCAGGGCAATGTTGAAGAACATTTTTATATCCCAAAATTGGGTCAGATGATAGAGAACTTTGACAACACGTAGGATCCAGAATATTCCAGCCACTAGGATGCACATCCAGGTGACGAGGCCCATCGATGCTAGGATCTCCTCTCTGGTGAGGATTGCATCCCCTATTGATGTTTTGTGCGAGTTATTGTCTACTAATTTATCTCTGCAATGGAAATTATAATTCACATCATTATTCATTCAAGAAAACAACTTGCAAGAAGATTTTGCAAATTTATATTCTCTCTGGTTCTGTGGCTAGCTGAAGTGAATTAAAATAATCTCCAACGTACAAATTTTAATTAATAATGAGTTAATCCATTAATTCATCAATTTTAAAGAGTAATGAATTTTATTTCAAGGAAATGTAAATATGGAAAATGTGGGAGAAAATGCATTTAAAAACTCATTCATCAACTAAAATGTTGATATTTTAAGAAAACCCCTAGAAATAGTGTTTTTTTTTTCAACCAAAAAATCAAAATACTTCCTTAAATTAAAATATTGCAGCTTCACTCACTTGAATAAAACCGAATAGTCTATACAGTGGAATAGGAAGGTCGAAAATGCGACGACGAAAATGAACTGTCCAAGCTCGAGGACCTCCTGCAGCATCATGCAGCCGAATCCATGTTTCTGATGATAATGATACATTCGCGTGAAGAACGAGTCCAGATCCTCAATGTGGTTCCATCTGGCTTTTCCACCCTCTGGGACCACGTGGATCATGACACCAGACTCGTGAGGAGTCTCTTCACGCTCATCGTCGTCACCACCGCCTTCAGCCTCCGAAAAGGGGTCGAGCTGCTGGTAACTGCCATCCAATACCGTCGTCATCTAAAAATTCCACATCATTCATGAGAAATATCTCCCTTCCACCCGTATCGCGAATATAAATCAAAAAAACCTGCTGTCGGATTCGAATTAGGAGAGTAGGGTGAAAGGAACTGTCTTTAATCATCGATAACTCGAGAACGGCAGGGTGAAATTCCCTGATTTTTTTGTCGTTTTCGAGGTATTTTTTTAAGCTTCAAAATGAGATTTGACTCGTTCAAATCGCACTGTTTGGTCCGGAGATATTGACGACGCAAGACGATTCGTTTTATCCAAGTGATGAAATTTCTTACAATTTTTTTGTACTCATGCGAGCAAGAACATGCCATTGAAATTCAATCTGACTTCTCGTAATTCTTCATTCAAATCCACAATATTTCTCCAGTTGGTGATAAACAAAAACGAGAATCCAGGTATTTCATCATCCTCGGAGTTAAATAGAAACGAAAACAAGGATAACACGATGCGCATTCGAATAAAGAAAAAAATGTCTTCGACAGATTAGCACAGGTGTTGCTGGAATGTACTGGAATGAAACGGACTTAAGTGAGCAGAAGCAGGTGAAAATAAAAATGTTGCAGAAAAATGAGTGGATGGGCACAATGAATCGAGAAGAGATGGAGCCTTACCGTTCTTGTTCTGCGGTTTGGCTCCACGCAGGTAATGACAGTGTCACGTTTCATTCTTTCATTTTATTTCGACAATCATTTTCTCTTTCAACCTTGATTATCAATCTACGGTTCAACACTTGCACTCCAACACACGTAAAATGCAGGTCATTTGTGGAGAAGACGAGGTGGTGACAACGGTTTTGGTTTTTTTTTTTCTTATTTTCTAGTGGTTGAATGTCCTGAGATACTAGAGTAGTGAGCAATGCTGAAAGTAAGTAAAATAAAGAGATGAACATTTCTGCTTTGAGGGGGAGTAATCACTCGCGAAATCTAGTGTTTAGATTGATTTGAGATTTGATGAAGTTCTGGAAATATTGGAAATCGGTAATGGAGAGGAAAAATTTGCTCTGCCGAAAAACTAGATGTTCCACGTGAGAATATTTGATGGAGTGGAACAAATTTACTTGAGGGAAATTAGCCAATTTGATAGAAGAGAATTTAACATCTCTCACAAAAATTAAATTTTTGTGAAAGTAAAATTCGAACTGTTGACAGGGAAAAATATAATCTATTGTACGACAATCATTTGATCTGAGAGAACTCCATAGGTTTATACCATGGAAAGAATACATTGACGAGGAAACAATATTTTTTTCCCAAAAAAAATTGTCCCCTCGAAACTATTTAGTTTCCCCAATAACACAGTTATCGGCAAAAAACGGTAGTTTCCTCTTGAAATTATCATTTGTTCCATGGAAATCATAAGTGTTTATTGGCCAAAGATATACACTACTCAATAACATTCACTTGATAAAACCGGAGCCTCATATAATTCTTTGTCGAGCGAATGTGTTTACCCGAGAGACACATAAATGTTTCACGAGAACAATAACTACTACGAAAATTATCATGTTTTGCTGGAAACTTTCTTTGTTGTCAACAAGTGAATTAAGAGACAGTGGGGTAAAACGGCCCCTTTCGACTTTGTTTGCGATACTCATAACTCAGAAACAAATTCATTAATTGAGATCAGTCTAGGCTCATTCTAAAGGGGAAGAAGTGTAGTTTCCATTGAAAAAAAAATTATTCCAATTTATTTAAAATTGAATGAGCTGTTAACATTTTTGAAAAAAATCAAAAGGGCCCGTTTTCGGGGAACATAATTTTTCGGCAGAACTATCCTCTCATCCAACATCACTCATCAACCAATAACATCATCAGGCCGGCAATAAAAACTATTTAAAACACCCCATCGTCGTTAAAAAAACGCTCGTGACATTTCTCCCCTCAGCGCGCGATGAGATCCTATTTTCGTTATTCACCTTGACTCATATACTTTTTTCGGGCCGTCGTCACGTCAGTATCACATTTATAAAAAGAAGAAAAAGAATGCAAAAAAATTTGTCTTTATCATCGAGTCAACAATGCTCTGGGAAATAAAAAAACAATCGTATCCGACGGTTTCTGTCGTCGGGAGAAACGGGAGACTCGTCTGAAAGCAATAGTTCTACTCGCTCCAACGAGATTATATTCTCCCATTCAATGAAGAAAATAAAGGTGACTTGTAATGTTTGGCAATACCAGCTGATCTCCATAAACAAAACGCCATTGGTGGCACCAATGTCTTACCTTCGTCGTCAGGTTTCTCGCTCTCCCCACACGTGACAGGCTCTTATTATATTATCTGACACATTAACTCGACACTTGCACTCACATATTGACTACTGCGAATGATTTTAATCACTAGAAATTTTGTCATTTAACTAATTACAAAAAAAAAATTACGAGGAGCGTTGCTGCGTGCGTCTCACCATTTTAGACGGACTTTTTTTTCTCCCGTAATGCTGTGGGGGCTCCAAGACATCTGGCGGAATTGTCTTCAGATCAGGGTTTCTCACTGGATAAAGTAAGTCTCTACATTAAATTAGAATGATTTTTGTTCCAAACCTGATTGATAATTTATTTCGTTACACAAAATTTATTAAAGAACAGTAAAAAAAATTAATAATTCATCATTATAAAAAAATAATGATTAATTATTAATAAATTAAAAAAAAAATTATTAACTAATTTATTTTTAGTGCTTGTTGCACTCGTGTCTTCGGTGATATTCCAGGAGGAACAACTGCACCTTTTCTCATTGAAGTAAATGTAAAATCACCATTTAAAAAATCATTTTTACTCCAAAATTGATTGATAATTTATTACCTTATACAAAATTTATCAAAGAACCGTAAAAAAACGTAATAATACATGTAAATTCTCGTTTGATAATGAGCGATTCAATCGTTCCTGATTTATTTCTTCTCAAACTTTAGGAGTTGAAAATTTATTCTCCTTCTCCATATTCCCCAGACTGCCGCTGCGACGACGAAATTTCGCAGTCAAGTTTAGTGCTTTGACTTTTATCACATTGTTCTCCTTCAGAGGACTACCACCAGCCTTACTCCCTCCCCTCCCCTCAATCCTGGGTGAGCCCCGGACAGGTTCAGACCTCCTCCCATGAATAATCTTGTCCTTCATTCTACTGAGCCCCCCAATGAGAGGAGAACTGCTCTTCAAACTTTTCTCCACTTTCTTTGGAGTCTGCGGAACTTCAGCCTCCCCAAACATACTGCTAGCATTCCCTTTAGCATTTGGAGTCACTGGAGAAATATTCCAGCTCATGTTTCTCTTGGGGCTCTGGGGAATGTGACTTCGACTGCTCTTGTCCTTGCTCCCCACGTCTGGAGTGGACGAAGCCACTGGTTTTGTTTTCGTCGTCTTCTTCCCAAGGACAATAGGACTAGGATCAGGAGTGCTTGTTGCAATCTTCAAGGGTGACGGCACTTTGTGCCGCTTCGGTGGTGTTCCAGGAGCTGCACGTGTTCCAGGTCGTTGCATGCTCCCCAGTGGCACCAGAGCCTTCATAGGACCTTTCTTCGTCCCCACAGAATCATTCTTCTTCTTCAATTTCGCTTTATCCCCCACTGGAAGGGTCGATTTTATCTTCAAACTCACATTCATCTGCTTCTTCTCAACAGTCACATTCACAATTCCTGGATCACTGGTGTTTCTTCTATTAACGTATTTCTTGGGACTCACTGATCCTTTCGCCTCTGGATTCCTGGATTTTTCTGGAGCCTGAGCGATCGAGGAACGACGTCTCAGGGGGAACGGCTTCGACGAACTCTTCTCGACGATTTCCTGGGACTCTGGGAGCTGATGACCCAAGGACTTCAAGGAACGATAGGGAAGACAGGATTTTCTAGGGGAGGTTGGGTGCCTCTCGGGCTTTGGGGTCAGCACTTTGTTCAGATTCTCCAGGACGAGGGCTGGCTCGTCTCTGCAGTCCTCCAGGAGCTTTCCCAGGGCCAGTTGAATGTCTAGGATTAGTTTCTGGGTTGTGAAGGAACGTTGAGTGGATTCAGTCGCTGGAGGGAGCACCTTCGAGGTGGATTTGTTGGTGGAATTATTCACCTCGAGATTGTCTGCGTTATCCTCGTGAGGATCCATCCCAGGCTCTGTGTTGTCCTCTGTGCTCTTCTCTGATTCCTGATTCATCGATCCTGATTTATTACTCGCTTCCGATTCCTCCAGGGACGGTGTTTCTCCTGATGACTCATCTTTTCGTTCATTCGGGCGAGATCTCTGGGAATTCTCTTCAGTTTTCTGGGATTTATTGTCTATTTTTGCGAGAGATTTTTTGTCGGCAACTTTGTGGCAATCTTCTGGGGAATCTTTAGCCATGTGTTGATTTTTATTCAGGGAGTTGATAGTCTTTTCTCTTGGAGACACTTGTTTGGTCGTTTTGGTGGAACTGATGGGAATTTTTGTTGGGGATTTTTCCTCCTGCATGGACGGATTGGAATGCATGGGTAACAATTCTAAATTACTTTCGGATTTTACTCCCAGGGCCTCTTCCAGATTCTTCAGGAGTTTCATTATTTCTGGGTTCTGCTCGGTTTTAATTACGTTCTCGAGGTCTCGCAGCAGGTTTGCTGCTGCCTCTTTCTTCTTCTCCGGGGAGATCTTGGAAGGATCCGAAGAATTGGGGGGTGGGGTTTTTTGAGGTGACTCCGATTTTACGTGGGAGGTAGAGGCATCCGTTATGGTGGGACAGGTGGCCGAGGTCTCGGGGGACAGTTCGAAGTTGCTGGGGAGACGAGTGCTCAGCAGGTTCTCTCCACTACTGCTTGCTGAAACCAATAAATTGGAGATTATCACTTGGGGAGCTTTGAGAGATATTTTTTATGACTTTTCAAATTCTCGGAATTAGGGAATTTTATTTTAAAATCAAAGGAAATATGGCATTCTAGAGATACTATGACATTTTCGTGAAAATTCAGAATTGTATGTTCCATACATCTTCATTTTTTTGCCTGCCTATTTTTTTTTTATTAATTTACAATTTCCCCACACGAATAGTCACAAATCTGAGTCAAATTTTACTTCTATTCTTTTTGGCTGTTTCGAAATACATTTTTATTCAAATAATTTTAAGTGCAATGGGCACTTCAAAGTTGAATTACTTCGCAGAAATTTTTTCTAAATTTTAAAATCTCAAAGGTGTCATGATAATTCCATGGATTTCCAGAAATGCCATGGCGTCTTGAAATTTGAAAAATCCTTGAATTCAATAAAATTTAGTAGTTCAAAGGAATCCCAAGTTATTCATTCTATTCTCAATCATTCGAGTAAAAATGTTCACTCTCCCTGTCATTAATACTTACTTTTATAAACTAAATTTCCCGATGAATTTAAACTTTTATCATAAAAATAAAATTCTGAAAAAATTCCTCCCCCACAAAACATCTACCAAAAATCCCTAAAGTCCCAAAATACATAATCATGAAATTATTATGAAATCATTCATACTGACTTCCCCAGCAAAACTTCCTTCCAGACCAACCCCATCACCTCAAACCCTTCACCCCCCAAATTATTCCAAAAATCAAAAAATCTCACATCCTTTCGTCGACTTCTCGGCCAGTTCCTCAAAAGTCCTGGCGAGAATATTGGCCTGCGAAAAGATGGACTGCTTCGCCCCCTCGTCCTCCAGAAACACCTCATCCTCCGGGGCCCCCGGACTGGCCTCCCTGATGCTGGCGACCTCGTCTCCAGCAGACGACTTCATCCTCAAGCTCTTGAACCTGGAGATGAGATCACTGAAGTTCCCCTCGGACCCCCTGGACCCGCCGACCCCACTCCCCTCAATGAACCCCCTATTAGCACTATCATTGCTGGACTTCCACGAGAATAAGCTCCCAGAGTTGATAGAGTTGACCCTCGTTATGTTCGAGAGTTCCGAGTAATCGCTGATGACAGAGTAGTCTGACCTCTCCCTGGACATGAAGGCCAGATTGAGTGGATCCTCGAAGAGAATAGAGGGCACAGAGTAATCGGAATTCCTTCGATCACTGACGATTGACGTTGACCTCTTCCTAAACTTCCTGGGACTGAGTCTGTCCCCTTGGGAGAATGAACGCCTGAACTTGGGGTTCTTGATGCTCTTGTTGTCGTTCTCCAGGCGTTCAGCGTCGAGGGTTCCCTTCCTGATGCACATGGAGACCCTCTGAGCGATGAGAGACTTGATGAAGCAGTCGTCTGAGCTCCCTTCAGACGTGGACAGTGTGTCGTTCATCGCAGAATTATCGAGGATTGATTTCTCGAGGGGCCCTGGGGGCCCAGACAATCCAGGAAAGTTCTTGGACATGCTCAGGCGATCTGAGAAGGTTCGAAAGCTGTCGTTCATGGCGGAATGATCGAGAATCGAATGGTTCAGGGGGCTGGGTGGCTCCACCAGGATCGAGGGCACGTGATCCTTGATTTCACCGGCTCCAGGCGTCCCCAGGTGGCTGGCGCTCAGCAGGGACTCGTCCAGGGTCTTGTTGATTTTTAGAGTGTCTGAGTGACGCTTGGACGTCGCCCTCTCGAAGACGATTTCAAAAGGGTCTGACGACTTGCTCACGTACTCTGATGTCTTCCTCAGGACCATGTCGAAGGGGTTGTTGTCCAGGCTTCTTCGGGTGTCTGAGAGGTTCAGGCCTGTGGACTTTGGCGAGTCGTTATCCGGGGATGGGATCAGCGGAGAGGGGAGCTCTGGACGGAGTCTCTTCTCTTCTGGACTGGATAGATCTATGAGATCACTCATTTTTTGGGGGGGAGTGATGCCGATCTGGGGAGAATAGGTAGACGGTTAGCATTGATGCAGATGTCTACGATTTAGGGGGAGACTACCAAGAGTTTTAAATGTCGCGGGCGGTTGGAGTGGGATTTTTCATGCATTAAAGATCGATTATATGTGGGGAGAGTGGGGCAATTTTTGAGCTAGGCGTTTTTTGCAAATTTTTTGAAAAAATGTGTACAATAACAATTACGAATTAGTTTTTTGAAATTCGACTTCGAAGTTATCAAGTCAAGTTCATGTTCATTTTCCTGAAAAAATTATTATGTTGGGATTTTTTTTGTATTCTTGGTCACGAATTTTATAAGTTTTATGTCCACGTATTTCTATAGAAAAACCATCGAGAGTAATTTATATAGATAAATCAGAATCTATTGATTTGTTTCTATCAAAATTGTATAATTTTTACTTGGGATGAACATAAACGATTAATAAATATTTTAATTGATTTTAATAGATCTTGAGAAGAATTATGGTCGAATTCCCACAAAATTTAGGAAATTCCCTGAACACGCCAAATGGTTATACACAATTTTTTCACATGTAAACGTGATATTTCAAATAAATTGTTTCAAAGTTTTGTTTGAGTTAATTTTTTGAGGTTATTTTCAACCGAACTCAACTCACCTTCTTCTCGAGTTTTTTATCCCGTGATATTTGATGATTTCTCAGGGAATGATTGCATTACCTGAGCGGGGGAGGTGGCACAATTTATTGGAGAATATTTGTGATTATTTTGGAGCAGAATTCAAGGGGTAATTACGAGGGTAGGACAACTACAAAAGCTTCCACAACACAGCCAACAGCCATTATGGATGGGCTGGGGTGGGGAACCACGACCAGTCTTGAAATGTTGCCAGGGGCGCGGGGAAGGGGACGTTTGTACAAACTCAGTTGGACACATTCCGTTATAGACACATTCTAGGGGAAAAAAATGGCAACAGTACGGGAGGCGGTGGAAAGGTCGGGCACGGAAATTTGTGGTCACTTTCGAAACAGGGCTCGGTATTTTTTAATATCTTTAGGAAATGTCTTACCATTCGACATGTTTTTTTTGCATTCGTCATGTTGAAAAAAAATTGTTTTGTCCAAAAAATTGCACAAAACGAACTTTTCACCCTTGTACTACTTTTTTCATCTCCTAGTACTACCTTGTACTAATTATTAATTCTTGAAAAAATAAAAGAAGAGATTGAAGAAGAATTGACTCGTGCGTGGAATTAGATTTTTTAAATTCATTTCTGTTGAAACATAACTCAAATAATTATTTATGAGAAAAAAAGTTGGTGAAAGATATTAACAAGCCGCATCATGCGATATGGCTGTTTTTTTCATTAACGTATTATTCAATTAATTCTGAAGAAATCATCATTTGGGAGTTGATTGCATTGAATCAATTGAATAACAACAAGTGATAATTTCGTACGAAATGAAACGACAATGTTTGGGGATAAAACAAAAATTGTTTTATTAAATATTCGTTATTAAATGTGATGACAGAAAATCCTTCATGTAAATAGGTAATATCGTTTGTATAATTTACTTAATTAGTTATTAGAAGTACAAAGAAAAAATTGATAAAATTGGTTGGAATATTTCGTGTAGAATGATTAAATTCTAATTGATTTAAATAGAGACAGAGAAGAGATTATTTCCTAGAAAAAACATCACAGTTATCGTCAGTTCTCTCTGGTATTATCGTTAGCTTATGCTCGAGCATAATTATAATTAATTATTGTTATCGATTTACTATTTAAAAAATTGTTGAATTGAGATTCTTTGTATTCATCAATTCAGAATTAATTTTTCGGCATTTCGAATTCACCTACATAATTTCAGGTAGATTGTTCCTGAACATTAATGAACCCTCATTAATTTTTCAAATAAATTTCTCTGTCAGAGGTGATATTGGTAGACTTTCAAAAAAAAAGTGTCAATTGGAGAAATAGCCTTGGACGGCTGATGCGTATCATAACAGGTATTTTCTTCCTATCAACCAGTGCAGAATTTTGTACTTTAACATTCCATAAAAACGGTTGAATTCGGCATTGGCCTTATTGCGTTGACGTTATTTTTGTTTTCCTATTAGCCCCACGTTTTGCCCAAAACAATTCATCTTTCACCACTTCACGACTAAATTCCACCATTACATAGCATCTAACAACCCATTCCCCTCCACTCGATTAACAAAATCCCTTCCCAGATGTATCTCAGGCTGTTTAATGAAAGCCTTCCAAACTTTCTCACAATTGGACGTATCCTCCATCGTCAAATACCCTTGCATTGGCAGTAGAAGATTCTCGTAGGCATCAGTATCCAGCTGGTACTGCTGCATGGCACGATATACAGCCCTGAAAGGTGGCTGTTTCATCGAGTGAAAAGCCCCCCTGGAGCCATGTACCACAAGTGCACCCTCTCGCTCTGCCTCGATGCACACAGACATGTACATGCAGTGATCTGGACGATAATTGTACCTGCAGGAGTAGATGTACAGCTTCTCAGGGTGATAATGGAAGATAATATTAATTATATCCTGATCTCCCCAGGTTATCTTGAGCCTCCACTCCTTGTGGATGGGAATCACGTAGTCTGTCCACCTGAACTCTCGCATTCGAGTGAGATTCATCAGCATCACTCCAGAATTTACCCCCAATTTTCCGTAGTAGGGATGCTTGGCGAATCTGTTGTACCAGCCAGTGTTGGGGTCCTCGTGCTCTGGGCTCAAGGCTGCCAATTGAGATGAATTCATGAGCTTGAATTCGTCCCACACTAGCTCTGGAGGAGCGAGGAAGAGGGTGTCTGTGTCGACGTATAGAACACTATCTACGTTGTTAAGTAAAGTCTGGAAAAAAAAATTTCAATTTGACAATTACTTGTTCAAGAAATCTTCGTTTTTTTTTTAAGGGAGAGTGAGGTAAAACCGCCCCTTTTGACTTTTTTTGTGATACTCATAACTCAGAAATAAATTCATTAATTGAGATCAGTCTAGGCTCATTCTAAAGGGGAAGAAGTGTAGTTTCCGTGGAAAAATAATTATTCCATTTTATTTAAAATTGAATGAGCTGTTGATATTTTTGAAAAAATCAAAAGGGGCCGTTTTATCCCACTCGAACCTAATTGTTTTCATTGCTGTGTCTGGTTACCGATCGAAATAACACACGTAAATTGCAACACCCAGATTTTGCTAGTTATTTCAAAAAATAATATCTCATTAGTGACATCTTCGTTTATTTTAATTGATCTCAGTGATTAATATACTCACAGGTAAAAAAAGTCTCTGAGCTGCACAGGGTTTGAACAGTTTCTTCCACATCACAACATCGCTATATTCAGGGAATTCAACAGGTTTAATGACATAACTGAATGTTTTGTTTGTCTTGTACTTCCAATCCGTGAGTTTCTCATCAAAATCGATGATGAGATTTGGTTCAGTGATGATGAAGAATTTCAGTGATCGACTTGTAAATACCAGGGCGGATTTGAGCATAGTCAGGGCCTCGTCTAGTCTGTCCCCACAGACCACAACGCAGATCACCACTTCATCCTGGATAATCGCCTTCGCAGGCGCCTCAACAATTGATTCAGCATGTTCAACTGTTTCCTCATTTTTTAGGTTTACTATTTTGTTAATTGACCGTTGATTCGTGAAATTCAAAAGTACTAGTAAGCTCACGAGAAGGAGGAACAGAAAGCCGAATCTGTACACTGATTTCATGACTGTTCATTGATGCGGGCGATGGAGATGTTCATTAGTGGCTTCTATTTTTATCAAATTATTGTCATTTTGATAATACTGGTGGGTTTATTCGGTTGTTGTTTGGGATTCGGTGGCGAGGCTTGTTTATTTTGACACTTCTTGCCATAACCTCACATTATGGCTTCGGGCAATTCTCGCGAGGGGCGCTGAATGACAAAATTAGTGGGATATTTGAATTCTAGGATGGCATTTTCGTTAGGATTTCTGTGAGCCGATCCAGAATATTGTTGTCTCAAAATTTTTGGTACCATTTGCATTCTCTCATTGCAAAATACAAGTAATAGGGGAGGGCAGGGTAAACTTCTGACTTTTTTTAAAATATTCATGACGTGTTGAGTTGCTCATGAAATGGAATAATTTCATTTTTCAATTGAAAGAACAATGATTCCTCTTTGTGATGAGCTTAGACTGAGCTCAATTGATTAATCTGTTTCCGAGTTATGAATATTTTTAAAAAAGTCAAGTGTCCATTTTACCTCACTCCCCTAAGTGGTAAATTGCTGTTTTGTATTGCACATAGTATAGTTATTTTTGATAATAAATTAGGGATATACTTCCGAATGGTTATTTTGCACATCCTTTTTTTCCATTTTATTACACTGTTAAAAAATTTGGTCCGAACTTTCAGGTACTTTTTTGGAAATTTTCATCGAATTTAATTACCACTGAAATTTCAGTTTCATTTTTCTCCGAAAATGAATAGAAAACTAGAAAATTCCGGTAAATGTACTCTGGAATTTTAAGGACAGTGACACTGAATGCGATTTAGGAGGAGCAAAACTATGAAATTTCATCGTCGGTAAAAATAATGTTTTTTTCAAAATCAGATTTTTTCTATTTGAATAAAAAAAAAAGATTGAATTTTACTTATATTGTAAAATTGTTTTCCATCGCACAACCACGTTGACGTTGAATGATCTTCGGCCTCGGTTCGAGAAATTTATAATTTGAAATTGCTAATGTTGCACTAATAGTGAGAGAAAGAAAATATTACTCATACGGGAGACATTAATAGTAAATCAAGGGCATGAACAGAAATTTATGGGATCATTGTTATTTATTTTCGTCATTTGACATACACTTACTCTAACATATTTTCATTTTTCACTGATTCTATCGAAGAATTCACATTCTTCTTGCAAATTTCTTGGAACGAAAATGTACAATAGAGAATATTGCGTGACAAGAGTCAATAAGTTTGATCCACCTAAAAAATAATTAATAATAATGAAAAATTAACAATTATAATTTGCTAGCTAAGATTAGTATCATGGAAATTCGTGAATTTTCCACGGAAAGTAGGAAATTCTATGAAGGTAAAATGTCGATTTTTTACTACATCGTGTCATCACTTCTTTTGCCATCATCATAGGAAGTGCCAAATATAGGTAGTTTATACATCAAATGCATAGATATAATTGAGATCTACATCAGTTATACCTTTTTACGGTGTGCTTTACGACATTTGCAGAAGATGGGGAGAGGAGGAACTGTAGTTGTGGTGGGCGCAGGAGTAATTGTAGGAGCAGGAGTGATACGTTCGCAATTACAGGGCGTAGCATTAGTTATATAAGCAGCAATAGTGATGGGAGATGAAGAGATCACAAGAGATTCAGGTGTTGTTGAAGTTGCAATGCGTGTAGAAGCACTCGCGGTGGTGGTCTCAGTAGTCGTTGTAGGAATTTCAGAGGATGTAGAAGTACTAGTGGTGGTAGTCGGAGCAGCCGTTGCAGGGACTAGGGTGGATATGGCAGCTCTGGGGGTGGTAGTCTCAGCAGTCACTGTAGGAACTTCAGTGGATGTAGAAGTACTAGTGGTGGTAGTCTCAGCAGTCGCTGTAGGAACTTCAGTGGATGTAGAAGCACTAATTGTGGTAGTCGGAGCAGCCGTTGTGGGGACTACAGTGGATATGGTAGCACTGGGGGTGGTAGTCTCACCAGTCGCTGTAGGAACTTCAGTGGATGTAGAAGTAGATGTAGTGGATGTAGTTGTGGTAGTCGGAGCAGCCGTTGTGGGGACTACGGTGGATATGGTAGCACTGGGGGTAGTAGTCTCAGCAGTCACTGTAAGAACTTCAGTGGATGGAGAAGCACTAGGAGTGTTATTCCCAGCACTCGTTACAGAAACTTCAGTTGGAACTACGGTAGATGTAGAAGCACTGGTGGAGTTTGTCGCAGCAGTCGTTGTAGGAACTTCAGTAGGCACTACGGTGGGTGGAGAAGCGCTAGTAGAGGTGGTCACAGCACCCTTTGTGAGATCTAAAGTAGGAACTACGTTGGATGTAGAAGCATTAGCTATGTCAATCCCAGCACCCGTTATAACAACTTCAGTTGAAACTACGGTAGATGGAGAAGCGCTAGTGGAGGTGACGACGGCACCCGTTGTGGGAACTTCACTAGGAACTACGGTGGATGTAGAAGCATTAGTGGTGGCAGCCGGAGCACCCAGTGTGGGAACTTCAGTAGGAACTTCGGTGGATGGAGAAGCGCTAGTGGTGGCAGTTGGAGCAACCGTTGCAGGAACTTCAGTAGGAAGTTCGGTGGATGGAGAAGTACTAGGAGTGTTAATCCCAGCACCCGTTACAGAAACTTCAGTTGGAACTACGGTAGATGGTGAAGAACTAGTGGTGTTGATCGCAGCAACCGTTGTAAGAACTTCAGTAGAGACTACGGTGGATGTAGACGCACTAGTGGTGGTATTGGCGGCAGCCGCTGTAGGAACTTCAGTAAGACCTTCGGTGGATGGAGAAATGCTAGGGGTGGTGATCACAGCACCCGTTGTGAGAATTTCAGCAGGAACTACGGTGGACGTAGAAGCACTAGTGGTGTTAATCCCAGCCGCCGTTACAGAAACTTCAGTAGGAACTTCGGTGGATGGAGAAGCGCTAGGGGTGGCGGTCACAGCACCCGTTACAGAAACTTCAGGTGGAACTCCGATGGATGCAGAATAACTAGCGGTGTCAATCTCAGCACCCGTTACAGAAACTCCGGTTGGAATGACGGTGGATATAGCCGTTGTAGGAACTTCAGGAGGAACTTCGGTGGATGGAGAAACGCTAGGGGCGGTGGTCACAGCACCTGTTGTGGGAATTTCATTAGGAACTACGGTGGATGTAGAAGCACTAGTGGTGCTAATCTCAGCCGCCGTTACAGGAACTGCGGTAGGAACTTCGGTGGATGGAGAAGTGCTAGCGGTGGTGGTCACAGCACCCGTTGTGGCGACTTCATTAGAAACTACAGTGGATGTGGAATCAGTAATGGTTGTAGTCAAAGCGGCTGTTGTAGGAACTTCAATGGATACTATGGTGGATGTAGAAACCACACTAGCAGTGGTAGTTGGAGCAGCCGTTGTAGGAACTCCGGTAGATGGAGAAGCCCTAGAAGTGGTAGTCACAGCAGCCGTTGTGGGAACTACGGTTGATATAGAAGCACTAGTAGTGCCAGTCTCAACAGACGTTGTAGAAACTGCAGTGGGAACTACGGAGGATGTAGAAATGCCAGTGTTGGTAGTCGGAGCATCCGTTGTAGAAACATTAGTAAAAGCTACGGGGGATGAAGCTAGTGCAGAAGCTATAGCGGGAACCACGGTGGATGGAGAAACACTACTTGTTGTTATCGCTGCAATCATTGTTGGAACTGCAGTAGGAATTACGGTGGATGGTGAATTACTAGTGGAGGTTATCGTAGCAGCCGTTGTAGGAACTACAGTAGGAACTGCCGGGGATGTAGAAGCACTAGTGCTGGTAATCGGAGCAACCGTTGTAGGAACTTCAGTATGAACTATTGTGTATGGAGAAGCACTGGTGCTGGCAGTCTCAGCAGTGGTTGTAGGAACTGCAGTAGAAACTACAGTGGATGTAGGAGATTTAGTGGTGGTAGTCGTAGCAGCCGTTGTAGGAACTTTGTTGGATGTAGAACCACTTGTATTGGTAGTGTTATGAACACCGTTAATCGTAAAAGTTGTAGGGATCGTAGGAGACTTCGTGACGGGAGCTTCAACAGGTAGCGTGGACATACAGCTTCGAGCAATGCGAGGGAGTGAACTCAATTGTTTCTCGAGTTCTTGAAATGATGCGCTGTTGCAGCGCCCCATTTTCTTAATGGCCGCAGAAGTTTCCTTCTCCTCCTTTCTTCTCAGTCTTTCTGCATGGGACATCCACGACTTAACGCTAATTTTTAGTGAATCCTCTCGCGGTTTGACACACAACATTGGTACTTTCTTGGATTTGCATTCTTCTTGGATGTCACCAAGTTTTGCGCGATATTCTTTTCCTTCCTGGGAATGGAAAGACACTTCATCAGAATCATTACCTTCCGATAATACCTGCCTGACAAGTTTGGCATTCCAGATGGTGTAAAATGAATTTTCGTGCGTAAAACACTCTACTTTACTCTCACAAAAATTATTATGTCCTACCCGTGCATGGGGGCAACTACAATTTTACACACTTGTAACAGTCATCTATTGTGTTACTAGTGTGTGAAGTGGCACTTTGGCGCACGCTCGTATAACAAGTACTATTTTCTTACCACTTGCCGAGTATATTTCGCTTACCGTGATTAGTTCATCAAGTTCAGTCTTTAGTTCTGGATAATTGGGCAGATGTTGCTTCAAGCACAAATTCATTCGATGATTGTTTCTTTTCAAAACGCCCGTGGCTATGGAGTTCAATGTTCTCACGCATTTGTCTACGTTTTTCCCTTGGCTTCGAACAGTTGCAACAATCGGCTTAAAATGACAAGCAAAAAAATTGTAAATTTTTTTTTATTCTGCTCGCGCTATGCATGTGAAGTATCTAAGTTGCTCGACTCACTGCAAGGTTTTGAAGTCTCGTGTTGGCATAGTTCACTGCGGTTTTTCTTCTGTTCGTGTGATCTTCTATGAGAGTGCCCTGACTATTTACAAGCTGAACTTGGAAGTCTCCGAGAAAATTTTGCCCTCTGTTGACAAGCTCCTCAGCCAGCTTTGCCTCAGCCTTTAATTTGGTTTAATCATTAAAACACATTCAGCCAAATAATACGCGTGTTCCAATATTGCGCGCTCAATTTTTTAGGGTGGAAAGAGCGAGAAATTTGGAATCGAAAATTCCTCTTCAACTTTGCTTTACGCCCCCCCCCCCCCCC